ATTAAGACAACGGATTGTATATACAAACAAACAATTTATTGAGTTACTAGGGGGTCTGTTCGCTTTTTAAAAGCAATCAAGGAAAAGTTATTCAGCATCTATGTCATTTTCAAGATTTTCCACTCGTTTTCTCTCGGAAATTATTGGTAAGAAAACCAGAATTCCGTTTCTTTGAAAGCATATGGCACGTGTCAAGCAAGGAAGGGGATTTTATAATGGAGAAATTATATTTCGGGAATTAATTTTACCGTGCCGATGTGTGGGATAGTGCTAATTTATTTCCGAATGATGAATTAGTTAGGAACGGAATGCCTTCTTACTTGAAGAGTGATCGACACGTAGTAATTCATATAATTTTATTTACGACAAGCTGAAATAATCAGTCAGGGTTTTTTTTCCAATCTACAATATATCAGGACTCTTGAAGTATCGTTGAAACCTAGAAATATAATTCAGTTGTACCTCCTATTTGAAATTAACGATTTTTATGTGCTCTTATTCTAATTAGGGTCTTTCAAATTTCAAAGACCCTGTTCTAACTAACTTTTGTCGGTACGATGAGACGTCCACTGTTCAGCACAAACATATAGATATATCTTTTGTCTGTATGACATATCCATATTTTTATATGAAATATAAATATCAATAAAAACAAGTTCTATGGCAGTTTCGATTTTATAAGTTATCAAGATTTTTGACAGGTTATATAATCTATATATAAACGGTTGTTTGAAAATATAATCCGAGCCGATATTTGCAAATAACCGTTTATATATATCAGGAAAATTCGTAACGAATTTATAAATCAATATTTTACAATCTGTTATATTTTAAATCTATCATTCGTGTGTGATATTGCACAGCTGAGATACATTGATCTATATTTAAAATGTTAATGTTAGTCTTTTTTAAACACGAGCATTCTTTACTTCATATATAGAAGTGGGAAAGCAGACCAGAAATGTTCATCATATAAAAACACACAGTTTAATGATGAGCAGATAGCAAATTTAAACACACATTTATCATAAACTATACAAAATGTCGCATACATTAATTGTAATATTTGTACATATCTTAAACTATTAAAGGCTCATTAAGCTCGTATTTATTTCTCAGAACCTTTCTTCCCCCCCCCACCCAAGCCGTGTTCAAATGTAAAAACCCGCTTTGCGACCACCCCGATTTCGAGACAAATCGGCTAATAAGAAAGATTTTTTTTCTGACCCGAAATTTTCCTTCTTTATTTTAATAGTCGCCAACCCCGATATCGAGACTATCCTGTTATTCCTTGACACGACCAGTAAATTTAGTCCCGTTTGGTAATGAAAATGAAATATCTGGTGCCTTTTTTGCCCTTTGCAAGTGTTATTATTATAGTGATATAGCATTATGTATGGAAGTCAAAACACTACTTTGTTTACATTTTTGCTACTTTAATGTCACACCACTAAATGTTCTGCGCTACTTTCTTTAGTTATACAACATCTAATATGCTATAAAGCTATAAAGCTATTATCAAAACATAATTAAACACATGTTTGGCCCTTAAAAAAGAAATGTATTGAATTTTTAGCATAATGTGCCTTTCATACACTTTTTTAAGTTTTTTTAGAGTTGATGTATAAAAAAACTTAAGCAAAAAGAATTAAGACAACTTGTTTTGTTTGTTGTTGTTGTTTTTGTTTTATTTGTTTGAATTTTTTTATTTATTTTTTTTTTTTTTGTTATTTTTGGTATACATATTTTCAACTCTTGCTTTGAAAAAAAATAGAAAGAAAGAAATTGTATTTTGTAAATTCTATTTTTATTGTTTTTTTTTATCTATTTTTCATTTATTCATATATTGCTTGATTTCTTGTTTATATGTTTCTTTCTTTCTTTCTTTCTTTCTTTCTTTCTTTCTTTCTTTCTTTCTTACTTTCTTTCTTTCTTTTGTATCTTTGTTTTAAATTTTCTTTGTTGAATTAAGAAATGGAATATTTCTTTAATTTGACCATGAACACGACAAAATAGACACCACGATGAATAAAATATAAGGATAAAACCAGAATATAAAATTCATAAATCCCAATTGCTCCATAATCTATGCTTATATATTTTAAATTAAATATTGTATAGCTAGTAGTTGGCATAACATAACATAACATAGCATAGCATAGCATAGCATAGCATAGCATAGCATAGCATAGCATAGCATAGCATAGCATAGCATAGCATAGCATAGCATAGCATAGCATAGCATAGCATAGCATAGCATAGCATAGCATAGCATAGCATAGCATAGCATAGCATAGCATAGCATAGCATAGCATAGCATAGCATAGCATAGCATAGCATAGCATAGCATAGCATAGCATAGCATAGCATAGCATAGCATAGCATAGCATAGCATAGCACAGCATAGCATAGCATAGCATAGCATAGCATAGCATAGCATAGCATAGCATAGCATAGCATAGCATAGCATAGCATAGCATAGCATAGCATAACATAAACATAAACATAACATAACATAACATAACATAACATAACATAACATAACATAACATAACATAACATAGGATGTTTATTCTTTAACAATTCTTAGATTAAAAGAAACTTTTTTTCGGAATTTATTCGAATTTTGATCTTTAAAAGTGTACTTTGATCCGAATATTTCTTTTCAAGTTTTTTTTTTATAAGTACAGGATGTATTTTCATCAGCTGGTGTGGGAAAAAAAGTTCATTCGTGGCTGTTGCCACGAGTGAAATATGATACTTTTCATACAACAAGATGAAAATATATCCTCTATTTCTTACGACAAGAATTTTCTGTTTATTATATATTTCTTTCTTTGTATTTACATTACAATTTGAACGACATATCCTTAAATTGTGTATATGGGCTAAATTTGGAAGAAAGTAGTCCGGCAAGAAACTACAGTGAAAATACAGAAAATACATTTCACTGCAGTGAAAAATATTTTGTACAGTGAAAAAAAACAACAAAAAAAAACAACAATAACAAAAAAACAGACGGAAAATGAAACACGTATTTTATTTCATCAATAGTTCCCAATATTTGTAAGTACTCGTACATGTATATAATAAATACTGTTTATTAATTCTCACTTTTACCAAAAAATGTGTTGGTTTTCATATAAAATATCAGGTTTTAATATTTTGCAAAATTTATTTTAAGATAGAGTGACTTTCAGGATCAGTTTCATGTTCTCATTTCATATCTAATTCTATCTTCATTTATTATTATTATTATTAATATTATTATTATTAATATCATTATTATTATTATTATTATTATTATTATTATTATTATTATTATTATTATTATTATTATTATTATCATCATCATCAACACTCCATGTGGCTGTTATTGCCTCAAATGTAAACATTTTGTTATAACATACTTATTATATACAATTATCATTTTTATTAGATATTGCACAAGCTAATTCGAAATTCAAACTATTATTGTTTTTCTTTATAATATAATGATGTGTCATTTCACATAGACCTACTCATACCGTTGTAAATGTTATATAATTCACCACAAGCTCGCTCCTTACATTGTTCAATACGAAGAACGGATTTTAAAGACCGCGATACTATGTGACATCGTAAACCAAAAATTCGAAAAATTAATAAATGAAAAGGTTTTTACACGTCGTAATAAAATCAGCAAACCCGACTCAATTCGCCAGAAAAGTTTCTGAAAACGTTCATTTTCGTAACTATAATCAATTCAATTAAATGCCAAAAAAATGATAATGACAAACTACACGAAAATACCAACATATAAAATCCATTAACTTGGACGTGGAAAGAGAGATAACTCTACAGTCCATGCTTAAAATATCAATCACACAGATGGCTTACTTCCCTTTACGTGTCGTCCGCTACTGTATTTATAAATAATGTTAAACTGACATATTACTTCAAGCGCTAAATACATGAGAAAATAGTTGCAAACGTAAACTAATGAATAAGCAAGGTAAAGACTTATCAAACCGGTAGGCTATTATGTGTAACCATAGCCGGTATTTTTAAAGTTACTCATATACAGATGGAAGAATCAAATTTGAAACATTATTTTTCAATCCTGTTTGTAACCTTGAATGATAAGAAAAGCCGTAGAATAGTCCCCAATCCATATATAATCATGATTTAATCTGATATTTTGTTCTTTTCATTTAACATTATCATAACGTTTTGTATGTAAACATTGTACATGTATTATATTCATGCTTAATATAATAACGCTTTACATGTTACATAATTATGCGAAATATGACTGTATTAAGTAAACGTATCCTACCCCGTTACAGACAGATTAAGGACTGACCCCTCTCATTTTGTTTAATCAATTACATGTATTTTAGATGCCTTTTGCTAGCTTAAATTACTTCTACATGACGCGACTGGGAATCTTTTTTTTCGAGATTTAAGTACAATTTAATGTAGGTCTTGGCCACTAACTTGTGTGCAAAATTTGAGGTCATTTGTCTATTCTGTTTTCCACGAATAGTGATTTTAATTGTCTAAAATGACCCCCAGTCATCATCATCATCATCAACATCATCATCATCGTCGTCGTCGCCGCCGTCGTCGTCATCATCCTCATTCTCATCATCATCATAATAATCATTATTATCATCATCATAATAATCAATATAATAATCATCATCACTATCATCATTATCATCATCAATGTCACCATCATTGTCACCACCACAACCACCACCACCATCACTACCATAACAATGCTCGGTCTGTAACATCGTTAGAAATGCACGGAATTAAACTCGATCATGCTAATATATAGGAATCTTTCAAGCGTCAAAATCGAACTACATGGTTGAAAGCCTATTGGCAATACAGTTATACTCATCAACTGGGTTGAAATCAAAATAACCTTTTTAAATTTGCTTAACGAAGCAAAACATTATTTTCAATTTACATGTGTTCATACCCTTTTCGTTTGTGTATCTTTTCTGTGCTTAAATATGAAAGTTTGAAAATTGATAATTTAAATAAATAAAGAAAGACAAAGAAATGGATAATAAATGCACTAGTAGTATGTATTAGCACCATTGGATATTGTTATAATTGTTACCATGGCAACCATTGATGTTACTGTTGAGGAGATAGAGGGCGCTCCGTTACTCATTAACCCGAAGGTCAAAGAGGTCAAACCGACAACAAGGTCAAGGTTAAACCTTGTACTGTGCATTGTTTTAGCAATTGACACTCTGTTCCAGCTTGTTGCCATAGTAACGCCAGGTTGGAACGTTCAGAGGGCGGAACTAGGTTCGAGTCACGAGTCAGTGTATTATACCATTGCCTGCGCAGACACGACTCCCTTGGAGAATGTTTCCACAACTGTTTGCAATACATGGACTTTCCTAGATGACTTTTCAAAAGCGTATAATACAGCAAAGGACTCTAAGAAACCTGCGCTTGGTAACGTTTATACTTTACGGTTTTCATATACGGCTTGACACGTATAAATAATTACCTTTACATGCCTTGTTTTAAAGTGTTCATGTATGTACGTTCAAATGGTATACTCCTTTATCATGGCTTTATGTGTCTTTCATTGGTGTTTTACATTAACTGATATAGTTAAACATTTTTCACTATGTATGTAAGTAAAGTTTTCCTACATGTTGGTTATTTGTATGACTGATAATATCTCAAGGTAAATGCCCTCTAGCAGAAACGGTGAAAACGTTGTTAATATGTAACTTGCGATGATCAGTTTAATAGAAAGTAAACCCTTTTAATGTTGTTCATTTTTTAAAGCAAAGAACTGCATGAGACATAATTATATTGTATATATTTGTCCAGCGCACCTTGCCAGCTATTTACATTTCTGCCCCATGTAATAAGTAGGTAATTATTTTACATCGTAACGGAATTTTCAATCTGATTAAAATAAGCTACGCATTAGGTAAGAAATAAATAGACCTGAACTTAAGTCAGATTGCAGAATTCTAAATAGATCTAACTTTTTTTCATTTAATTACTTTTGAAACAAAATCAAAACTGAATCGACGGAAATACGATAAAAACAAAACGCTCAGTAATTCTATACTAAAACTTAGACATGGGTTACAACCACATGTACGGTACTGTTTGTGGAAGTGTTTCAAAATATCGCAATCAAATTTTGTCAATTCACAAGCATTTGTTTTATCAGGCCTATAATCTAATTTTAAGAGTCCGAAAACTAACTATTTCATATCTCCCTAACAAGATGCAATGTTAACTAACATAAAACAAAACCTTGTATAGGGTAAAATGGCCGCGGTCTGGGGTCACTTTTGATATACATGTATACAGTTGAAATGGATAACACGTATTAGCATTTTTCAAAAATGCTAGGAAGTGCTGTTCAGCCGTTTATCCGATTTTGTTTCGTGAAATAGACATTTTGAATTTGCGGGTGAGGTGGGCACTCCAAACATATTTATCACAACGAATATTTCATTTATTGCTTTATTTTGTAAGTTATAAGTCGTTTATTTAATTATTCTTCCAGTTGGTGTATACAATTTACGGGTTCGGTACCAGATCAATGTACAGATCAGTTGGTTCATTGTTGCTGGGACAACCGTCTTCCAAATCATCCGGTATATCCGGGCAAACGAGGCATATCCTAGGCTGACAGCTATCAACGCCATGCTGCTTTTATGTGCATGTAAGTTATAACGAAGTGATGTATTTATATGCATATGTAATAATTCTATATATTATAATGTAATGATTATATATATTTTGAGAGAAGAGCAATGTTTATTCGCCGCAATCCCATAATAGTATGATGAGCATTAATTTTGACAGAAAAGCTATGTGCTTTATATACGAGTATAGTTTCTAAAGTAATCCGAATAAAGTAGCCCAATCGGTTGATATTATTTTCTGCTAGGACCGGTGCTAGGGGCTGGGCATGGAGGAGAACGGTAGCTTACACAATTCATATATCTCAATAGATAGACTAAATCAAACAAAGGGATGATTTTTTTGCATTGATCGTGCTGGGCGTTCTTTAAAGGGTTTCCACTCTTCGTGATACACATATACTTTATCAACATATATTCCATTGCTTAAATAAAATGATAAGTAGGATTAACCACAAATTTGTCATTGCTCAAACTATATATTGTATGATTAATTATGTGACAGCGGAACATATTTCAAGCTTTATGGCCAGTCCAAGTTCCGAGTTGTCATCCTGTAGGAACATATGACTATATGAATCTACAAATCTATAATCTACTGGTAAAATATGCGCGATGCTCACTTGCAATTGGTTTATGAATCTTGTTTCAATCACTAACAAAAATACAAAATCAGTTTTCTGTATTAATTAATTATTTTCAGGTTCAGCGATGTACCAGGCTTTATATGAAACACTCGTGAAATTGGACGTGACGTCACGACTTGCAGAATATCTTGGCGTTGAAATCGGTTTTCCATACAGTGTTCTTTTATATTCCATCGCTTTTATGCAAACTTGTGCATGTACCGTAATAGTTGTAAAACAGGTATATGATTATATACGACACATACAACTTGCTCTGTTAGAGACTAAAGTTCAGGTGAACACATTACAAATACAATATGAAGCAGAAGCAGAAGAATTTAAACATTATCGTCTGCTACAAACTGAGAAATCTCGTCTGAGATGTCGGAGCCGGAAGTCTCACCATATCGGGAGGAATTCGAAAACGGACAAAAATCGTCACGGTCATTCTACAAGACTTAAATATATCGCTGATCGTTCGCCAGTTTATTCTGAAGGAGACAATAGTGCAAAATGTTTAGAGTTATTGGACATATCGAGTGTCCATTCCTCTGTGACGCAAGCTAATGATGATCGGGAGAGCATTGACAATGTAAATCATTCACGTGACCTTTATCACGGAAACAGTGACCTTTCCGATATATCACGTGACTCCTCCTCTCATCATCACAGTAGTCATGGTACACACAACAAATCTGTTCGTCCACAGAAGTTATCAACACGAAAAGATCAAGACCAAGGTGAAGCGGGACACATGCGTTATAGTCATTGCCTACCAAGACAGGAAAATAATGGTAACGCAACAGAAGCGAAGTCATTCACTGGTTCAGTAAAGAAACACACAGATACGATATCGAATAAATTGCTAGAAGAACAAGAAAATAACAAAGGTATTACTAAACAGGGAAAAAGTGCAGTGGATAATAGCAAAGGAGCAAGTGATGGTAAACCTTTACAAAAAGACTACACTAGTAGAATAGTGTCTGCAGATGTTCATATACCAAGCATAGACGGCGAGGAAATAAAAGACTAAATTTTCACAGCGATCTGCGTAACCAAACGCTTTGACACTAGTACTTGTGATTACTTTGTAAATGTAAGCTGTTTTCTGCTAGACTAGTGTATATGAGCTTTACATAAGATTCAAAATGAAATTCAATCTAAATATATAATTATATTGTAGTTAAATTCTAGCCACTTGTGATTTTGTGGATAATGACTCACTCAAACATTTCGGCTATTGTCAATAATCCGGAGTTTGACGGAATGGGCCGAGATGATGCGATTGATAACGACTAAGATGTTATTGGCGAGCGCTGCGGTGTTCCGATTGTATCCCAAAGCTACAATGGCAATTTTACATGAGAGTGTCTTCTGTAAAACACTTTCATAGTTTTTGTAAACAATCCTTGATCATTAAATGACATATGGCATCAGCAGCCTCAGAGTCCAATATTTATCAAACCAAAGTAAAAATTGAAAATACCTAAAAATGATTTTAAAAAAGTATGCTTAATATATAAACGCCATGCACAAATTCATCAATGAATCGAACAGGGTGTCATAGACGAGTGGTTATGAACGCTGACTTGCCCTTCACCGCTGTAGGTTCGAGTCCCGAGAGGGACTTTGGGTCCTTTAATGTGAGGAAGCAACTCGGCTAGCTTAATGAACGTCTAAGGTTCTACTCATTTCAAAGGTTTAAGGGCGGACTGTTGAGTCATTACTGATGCTTACACATAGCAATTACCGGTATCACCCCACCTGGGTCAATTCCAATATACCATATGCTAAAATTGCCTATGTACATGTACCACCGCACTGACGGGTTGGACCGCAAAGAGTATTTGACTTATGTTCGGTGTTACAACGCTACAGGGGCGTATCACGTTGGGGGAAGGATCTGACCCCAAGCGTCTGTGATGGAGACTTTATAAGTAATTTTCAGTATAAACATTTATTCCCAATTGAATTACATTTCAAGTTGTGTTAGCAAATCTGATATTAGTTTTAACTATAGTTTTTAACTCATCCTCGGATACCCACAGTAGATTTTCATGCAAACGGCCTGTCACACCATAACGTTCTCAACGTTTCAATCGTTTTGGAACGTTCTTGAATGAGGCTGACACTTCTAGCGTATGATTAACGTACGTCTAACGCGCATAACTAGCGTGCGTTTAACGCACGAGAAGCTTGTAACAGCGACCAAGTAAGATACCTCAGAAACCTATAAGCGTGGCTAACGCGCCACTGACGCTGGACGAACTATTAATTTTTGTCAACGCCTGACAAGCGTTGTGAGCCTGAGTGACTAACGCGTGAATAACGGCAGAATAGTGTCTTGATGGCGTGTTAATTTAACGGCTAAACGGATACAAAACGCTGGAAATTTCATAGTGAAGTCGGCTGTTCTTGTGAGTTTGCATCAGCATCATGACGCCAAGCAGAAAAGATTGGCGTGAGGGCTTCTCCTACTAGCTTCCAAGTCCTTAGCATCTTTATATTCGTGATTTAGTCCAACATTGTCGTCTTCGTCGGTGTCTTCATCTCTGTGGGTGAATGTCGGGGTCTTCTCTGCGCATAAATTCGCTTGACATGTTCAACAATGTTTAAGTTCATTGCATCAACTTGATGCTTGGCTATCAAAACTTTTTTCCGGACCAGCGTTCTACACCGATTCCTGGCGATATCCGACTTTCACTAGCGTTCCTGGCGCTTCGCAACAACCATGGGCGACTACCAACGTTTCCTCAAACGCCATAGAACGCTGACCCGTACACCAGAACTTCACGGTGTGACGGCCCAACAACATAACATGTGATAAATGCCGTGGGTATCCGACGATGATGTGAATTTAGATTAGCGCGGGTTCAGATTTGACTTTACTGGATTGAATGCACTTCTCTTATTGACAATAAGGGCACGTGTAATAAATATTGAGATACAATCAATATAAATAAATATACAAATATAGCATGGTCAAAGCCTTTTAACACAAGCGTCTATACGTCGCTGACCTACTTTTGTAGTTACACAGATAGATACGACATTTATAAACTCTATATACATGATAGTTTATGCGAAATTGACAGTGAAATTTAATAAGGGCAAATACTTACAATATTTTTCTTAAGATTGATTGCCGCTTTGAATTATACGACTAAATAGTTAAAGGGAAGTAATACGTAATCGGATTTCAATTTCCACATGTTATACACCGCACTTTTGTCACGCATACCTGCAAATCAATAAGACAACAACCATGCTTTCAGCGACTGTTCACGTATGACTGCGCTGGATCATGTGTTGTTAAAGCTTTGATGTATAATAATCCAATTACGTATTGTGAAATTTTATAATGAATAGTATCCGTGTAAATTTACACTGCTAGCTAAACTGGGTTTTAACAGGTACAGAAATAAATCCAATACTAGATTTATATAAAGGATTTGATAAAGTGACATTGGCCGACCAGTGAACTCTTCATGTTGTTGACACCGCGGACATGCTCTATTTGATCTAGGGCATACAGGTTACGCGATTAAGACGATTGACAGTTTACATGTTTAATTAGATTTAATGGCAGGCTCATCATCATTGGAAGAGGTTGCGTACACACCTGTCATGAATCAGGAGGACGCTGTTGTCAAAGATGGAAGCGCGCGCGGTGTTTGTCAACAGTTTAACCGTCTTCAGTTAGTGTTGTGCATTGTTTTAATAGTTAGCGTTACATTTCAATTCATTGCCATAGTAACACCAGGATGGAGCATTTATTATACAGACTCTGTCTCAGCATATGAGTCGGTATATTACAGCACTGGTTGTGTTAAACTGGAGATAAAAAAAGAAACAATTGAGGAATGTAAGACATTGTCGCATAGGGATGCTTTCTACCAGGATTATTATGCTTCAAGTGAAGAAGGGAAACCGGCTCTAGGTTATTTATCATTCAATTAACTCATCATTTTATTGTGTTGCATGAAAAGAAATAATTTTGTTTACAATAAACAAGTGTTTTACGCAATCACTTCCTGTGTATTAATGGGAGGTAACTCAGAAAAGTTTTAGCGTTATTGCGCTTCTCGAAGTATTTAAATTTTGAACACCACTATTTTTTTTCCTTTATTCAAACCAAGTCATATTGTAAAACAATGATTTGCGAGTGCATGTACTAGACAGCGATAAATAACAAATACTTAAACTATGGGGAAAGCATAAGTTACAAAACTGACTCTTATTTTGATATATCTACTGACATATTTTGCTTACAATTACAGGACATCGGTATAACTTAGTTATTCAGTATCAGATGAATGTTCAGATCACGTGGCTTCTGATTGTTGCAACCCTGATATTTCAAGGCTTAAAGCTGTTTCACCCTCAGGAATATTTTCCACGAGCTACTATTGTCAACGTCGTCGTACTGGCATGTTCTTGTAAGTCATTATTATACGGCGGATTATTTTACGGCAGGATTATCAATATTTCACTTTTTATGTTTTCCTTTTTGAAATGTTTTCAATAGTTCATGATTATTCCTTGATTCTCTTTCGGCATCAAACAAATATGTTCATATACACAAACAGAAATTCTTCTTCGCCCGAGATTCGAACTCACAGCCTTACAATAGATAAATAAATATGCCTTATTGTTTAATTTTGTGTATTGGGTGAATTTGGAAGAAAGCAGCCCGGCATGATACCAAATACGGAAAATATGTTTCACTACTTTTACAGGGAAAGTACGCTAAATGAAAATATGCATTTGATTTCATCAATATTCATTTTTAAATATATAATAAATGAATAAATAAATAAATAAATAAATAAATATATAAATAAATAAATAAATAAATTCAAGGTCTAGGTCTAGACCACAGGCAGCCGGTGCGTGGCTTGGATAGTATGTACATGTACATGACCACGCCCACTTATTTTTATAAGTAAAATATTTATTCATAAAATATTTTTAAAACATCTTATTTAAAAAAAACCCCAAAAAACATCTTATTTTCAACAAACAACAAAGGTAAGTTGTTTTTAAAATTCGTCCATATTTACTTTAAATTTATTTATAGTATGAGTGAAATAAAAAGAATAACTTTTTTGTTGTTTTACTGAAAATTTGATGTTTTAAAAACATTTTGAATACATAAATATTTAATTTATCCAAATAAATGGGAGTGGTCATGTACATGTATATATAGTATCCAAGCCACGCACCGACTGCCTGTGATCTAGATCAGACCAATATGGCGAAGTATTATCGATACCCCGAAACAGTTGTACAGAATAATACTATAGACGTGCATCCATACATTTTTTTAATGCGTTTTATTGAAGGTCGCCGCCGGAAAGCCCATATGGGCGACCGTACACTCAAGTCGGACCATCCTAAAGCGTCCCGCCGAGATTTTTCGTCGATTTTTTCCAGCTTTATTGGTAGAGGAAGACCCCAGGTGCTCCTCCGGGCATTATTTCAGGCACGAGCGGGCACCTGAGTAGAACCACCGACATTCCGTAAGCCAGCTGGATGGCTTCCTCACATGAAAGATTTCGACCCGAGTGAGGATCGAACTTACAGCGGTGAGGGACCTGTGATCTCAAGTCAACGACCTTAACCACTCTACCACGGAGGCCCCTACATCCAATCATACAAATGTAACGGCTGCCCATTTGCCAAAAAGGGCCAACATTTTATATACCATAATACCAGTACAAATTACAATCATTCCAATTCCTATTGTCACATTTGATTGTGAATTATCACACCTTTATCAATTTATAATGATAAAGAGAAATCGATATAAAGTTAAAGGAACTCTACTGAGGTCCAAAAGCCTAACGAATCTAGATAGATCCTCTGGGACTATTAAAACCGACATTGTGCATTAGATACTTAAGAAATATACTCAGAAAAATAATATAAATTGCATGTTTTTGCTTTACTTAGTCCGAAAAATGATGTCAAAAATCTTCCTTGGAGTCCCTTTAAGGGCCATTTTTACTATAAACATTATTACTGAATATTTATAGGTTGTAGGAAAAGATGATATTATATTTTATCTTAAATATGTTAATATATTTTGTTTATGAAGTTTTAAATATATCGATTTTATTCTTGTTTCGCTACTCTCGGGGTCCATAAATATAACCATATATATTTGAGAAGAAAAAAGTCTTCTGCCCAAGGTCCAGACTTACTGGTTCAATGCTCAGCGCTATTGTCTGCCTCTTTGAATCGGTTTGAATTTGGTTGCTATGTTTGTGTTCGGCGCCCATTTTCGCGCCTTTCTTGTGGCCCTGCAAGACTGAATATTTTTAGGTTGTATTATTACGTGACCTTAACTTAAATTTATTTACATTCCAGGTCCTTTTATGTTCCAAGTTCTTTTCAAAAACTTCGTGGACATAGACTTCAGGAGAAAACTGTCCGATACAACTAGTGTAAAAGTTGGATTTCCGTACTCCTTCTTTTTCTATACGTTGACATTCGCTATGGTGTTAGCCAGCTTAGTTCTGATCATTAAACAGGTTCTTGATCAAATACGCGAAAAAGATCGTATACACGCAGAGATAAAAGTAAAATTTGATAGGCTAAAATTAGAATATGACGCTGAAGTAGACGCTTTCAGGCGGTACCGACAGAGAGGACACCTGAGACCCGACGGTGGAGGTTCTTACCGAGGAGACAGGAAGTCAAGGGGTGATGACAGGGGCTCGCATTCCCCGCGTCATTCTCGCGAGATTAGAGATCACGATAGAGATCATCATAGATATGGTGACCATTCTCCAAGACGGCCAGACGACGCGTCACGTGGTCGACATTCTCCAAGACCACGTGACCGGTCACCGCCTCGAGGTCATAGAAATGGAGACCGTTCACCAAGGCCACATAATAGGCAAGGCTCCCCACCATCGCATGACCACAAAGGCCATCCTCCAAGAAATCGGTCCCCTCGCCCCGATGAGCGTGAACACCACGAAATACGTCGTCGATCGCCTCCTAGGAATGATTCATCGAGCAGTAGCTTACCAGAAGGAAATGATGACCGAAAATCATTCAGGCATTCGGAGAATCATGAAAACCCAGCACTAGTTATTACACCGACTATTGAAACGACTCCAAACATAATAGTTGAACCTCGCTCGAGTCAGGCTGTCGTTAACGACACTACAAATGGTGATATTAATGGGACCCGAAGTGCAAAAACTGAAGATATTGAATTAAACGTTGCAAATATGGTGTGACGTAAGTGGTTTAACTTGTTAGGCACATATCATCCCAACACCATATTGGAAACATATTTGTTATTTTATATAGCTTTTTCGTTTTACCATTTTAAACGCTTTTGTAAATACGCAGCGTAGATTCCATTACAAAGATGATGTCTTGTGAGTCTTTGATGGAATAGACGATGCACTTTTTATATGATCAGAAGACATATTAGAGATACTAAGAGAATTGTCCATTTACAGTGTGTTTTTTCCAGAGGATATTTGATTTTAACTCGACTATTCGAATAATAGGGAGGGGTATTGTAGTCACCTAAGGCGTCTCAAAGGAACTTTGGGATGTGACAGAATGAGAATTTTAGAATAATCTTAGATTAAAACAACCAAACCAATAATTAAGGATAAATACAAATGTCATCAAACAGAGGTTCTACCGAATCAGAAAATAAATGAAAAGCAGGGGTATAATTTTGCTACTAAAAATATCCGTTATTTATTAATATTCTGTAAAAAGAATGCTGACAAGACTTAGTGCTACTTTTAAAGATAGACTATTTGATTTTTTTTCTAGTTTTACAATACTTAGTCACACATTTTTTTTGCAGTTTGGAATCATCAAATTGATTGTAACGACTACTCATACTACATAAAGAATCTGTTATCATATAAACATGTTACACTTTTAGCTCGACTTCTCCAAAAATAAGGAGAGCTATTGTACTCATCCAGGCGTCATCGTGAAACTTTGGTCAGCTTTTTAATGACTGCAATTTTTATCATCATATGACTACTGCGTGACAATCGCAATATGGGCTATTTTTGCATATTTAACCATCTTTTGAGTAATTTACGTAGATTGTAAGTCGCATTTACAATATGTTAAATTTACTTTTGATGTTTTATTGTTCAGTTCACAATATCATATTTTTAAGTACATTTTCAAAATAAAATGTTCATGAAAATAAGCGTGAATATGGATGCATGCTGCTTTAAAACTTATTTTACTTATATTTGGTTTCCATTGAAATGATGTCAATCTACCAAGATGTTAAGGTATCACGTGATCTGTGGTGGTGCTTTATTGAAATTTAGTCATATTGCACTTGAATAATTGTAATACAATATGTATTTTATATTAAATAAAATGAATACTCTTTTTATATGAATAAATGATATAAATGCTGTAAACTATTGTTTGATATGTTTTCTGTTTTTCTCTATATGAGTTCGTTGGATATTTAAAGACGCACCGAAACTGTACTCAGTAAAGGCCATATAGTGAATCGTCAGCTTAACCGGTGGCGGAAGACTTCCGGTGGTCCTTTGTGTATTATTCCCACTGGTCGCATTGATTGTCGCACCGGCGCTGTAAAGTTCATACAGCGATATCAGCTTAACTGGCGGCGGAGGACTTCCAGTGTTCCTTGGTGTATTTTACCATTTTCCATGTAAACACGAATGTGTGCTTGTCGCATTGATTTAACCTAAAATATGTATTTCTTGTTATTCATGCAAAGACGACAAATAAACAAAAAATAGTATATTTATTAGTTATAATGGTATTGACAAGATATGCAAACAACCGGGTACGAAAATTATAGGTACGCCCGTTCCTTGTGTGTAAACATCCTCAGATGGTAATATTGCCGGATTTACGTATGTGATACATGCAATATACATCTACAGTATAGGCGCTTTGTCTGGAAAAAAATATATGAACATTACTGCAGTATGTGCAAATTAATAGATAAGAGTAGTTTTAAATTTACTACAAAATTAAGATTAAAGATAACACTTAGTCTAGTATTGACAGATAGAAGGCCGGTAAGCACTGCCAAGTAAAGATGAGCTTGCAAGAACTCGGGTAGACAATCCCACAGATGCACACTGGCCATAGCTTTCGCAGAAGCGAGGGATCCCTCGCAGCGGCGGTAGAGAATTCGTCGCAGAAGCGGTGGATAAAATATGGCCGTTTTCTGTTGTCAGTAAGTTTATGGCTGAATTTTACTTTATATTTAATGTTTTACCATGGACACATCTAGTGAGACTGGAGCCCTCTTCCAACTTATAACACGCACACGCGACAATTTAATGTCATTTCTGCAAACACTTCTGTACAGTTTGACGAGGGGACGCCTTTTTTGCCTAATTTTGATTAAAACGCGTTCAAATTTAAGCAAAATGATCCCTTAATACACCAGCATCACATAGTATATATAATATTTGGGAAAAAACAGCCATATTTTAAAACTTTTGAAATTTTTTATTGTCTTTTTATAAAAGAATTGACAAGAATTGATAACCACGGAGACGGAGGTGGATTCGATTGCAACGCAGTGCGGTGAGCCCGATACCACTAATGTCTATTGTGTTGTTTTAATTTGACATATGACTCAGTTTTCAGAGCTATGTCTTAAATATACTTAATTTAGATGAATTCTTACGCGATATATTGGTATAAATTTAGTCATCAACTCCTAGCATTAAAGGATCTCGACTGAAATCAAAAGGAGTAAAAACATAGAAATTGAAAATCTGAAAAATATCAAGTGGAGCATAAAAAAGAAATATAATCAAAATTGAATTGAATTCCGATTACAACCTTTTTTCATTTTTGGGTCATTTTGCACAATAAAATTGATTTAAGAGAGAGAATGACCTCAAAAAATTTTCATCCAAGTTATTGGTCGAGACCTGCTGTAATATGTACACAAATCTCGGAAAAATATTAAAGAAGCCTCAGTTGAGTCCCTTTAAATTACTAACTTTTCTTATCCGTTCTGAAGATTCAAAATATATAAACTAATGAGGATGCGCGCGCATCGTATGACCCCCCCCCCCTTGGGAAAGAAACCGACCAGTGTTGCGATTGACTTAATACGGGTACATTCGGAACTGCCTCGGCTATTATCTATAATATTAACCTCGGAAACAATACGGATTGAAAGTAGTTCTACCACGTGGTTTACAGATGAAAACAGAAACAGAGATAATGTAAAACGAATGTATATATTTGACATCTAATGTCTGTTCCGGTACTCTTATGCTTGAAAATATGTCTGACAACAATTTGTAATTTAAATATGCCCTCTGATGTTCAATTTTAAATAAATCCGACCAAATGTCAACAGGTTGGTTTTTTCTACTTTCAGTTTCTACAGCCATATTAGTAAATATATAAATAATGTATTGTTTGCTTTTGTACCTATGAATTCACTTATTTTAGGTGGACTTTTACTACATATATTGGAAATAAACGTGTCAACAACTCCCAGCATTAAATTACTATTTGTTTACATGTTTAGTTTCTTAGCGTAGGTTAGACCGGAATACCGCATCCGTTCTGTGTATTCATACTATTGTGTTCGAGGTCCTTATCCGAAGACTTACGGAAAGGGCCGAGTAGTTGCGATTGAATACGGGTAGTTGGAGGTGCAATCGCAACTTCTCGGCCCTATCGAAGTTATTGTGAATTATAGCCGAGATGTTCCGATTGAGTTGGGGTGTTTCGATTTCTTCATTTGTAGTAAAGTCTTTGTAGTAGAACGATTTATTAGTTTTCTCATAAATACCGTATTACAATTTCACTTAAGTCACTTCATTTTCAATTATTTTATTGTTACTTTCATTTTGTACTTTCGTTTTACATTCCCGGAAAACCGTCGAGTTTGTTTTCTGAAAACCGCCATATTTGGTTACACTGAAATAAATTATCATTACGGAAGAGGGAAGGTAGTGCATTCATTTGATAATGTTTTAAAACATGTGTTTAAATCTACATTGGGTTTAATGGATGACTTTATGTGAGTTTAAAGTTTGCATGGAGCAATTTAATAAAAGAAGACGTGAAACACGTATGCAATCGAAAGTAAAAAGTACTGTTAGCCAAGCACGGGGAAGGAAACGAACAATAGGAACTAAACCGACATTTTTTCTTTTTTCACAAAGACTATTCTATGTACAGTGACCTTTCGTTCTAAGTGTGACAACACAGTGTCCATTGATTATAAGACTGCAAATTCAATACGACCCAGGTTTGTAAAAGTTATCTGTTTATGACATATCGATCAATATTGAAATATATTTCCATATTGAGTGAATGCACGAAGGAGCACCATATGTCCATGTTTAATCACGGGGTATTTGTGAGTGCTGTTAACATGAACAGATTTGAAATATGTATATATGTATATAATTCTATTATATGTAATAATTGTAAAGCCAAATGTAATAATTGTAAAGCAAAGTATAATCACTTTCGAAGGCATCTTCAAGAGGCTAGGAAATCAAACGTTTGTTCCAGAATGCCAATTGATCTGACCCAAAACGAAAACAATGAAGTGGTAAAAGTTATAAATATTTTAAATTGACACAAAGTATTTTGCACGAATATCAAATAACCAGGCACGCATAGATATTGTATAGGTGCAAATTCATATTGATTTTAAACAATAATTGGTACTGTTATGAAACGGATCTTGATCTATATCTCGTATTCATATTTTAACTTAAAATAGTGCATTTGTGTGTACACGCTTGTATATTTCATGATAACAGCGATAAAAGTGAGGTAAAAATACCTTTAGAAGGTAAAGAGACGTACATGTTTATTTACACTGTAAAAATTATTTAACGACACTCGAAAAATTGTAATATAAAACAAACACGAATACTATGAGTTCACTTAAATTTGCGTGCATGTTTAGTGTTATTCAAAAAGTTATTAAATAATGGATTGTCTATTTTGCAAATACACAGAAACACAAAACATGTACTTAAAATTATCTTAGACAAAAAAAAAATGTTTGTTTCCAGTGACATGGTTTTAAAAAAAAAATAGGTTTTTTTTTTTTTTTTTTAAATATTTTTTATTTATTTTATGCTTTTCAGTGGATTACTGATTTATCAGTGAAAATTATATTTGATTATTTCACAGTGAAAATTATCAAAATATAATTTCACACTTTTCAATGACGAAACTACTTTTTTAAGATTTTCCCCATGTGGTACCTCAATTTTATTTTTGCTGACAATTCTGACAATGTCAGGCTGTTTAAAGAAAAAGCAAAGCTGAAATTGATAAATAACTTAAATGTCAAAAGTAATAAAAAGAAGAGAAAACTTACTTCTATTCATTCAAATTCCAATCACCAAATTTCGTCTCTAAATTTTTTTGTTTCATTTTTACATTCTAAAAAATACATTCCTTCCACATGCAAAACTGCTCTTGATGACATTTGGGCATATTAAAGTATCCTACGAGCAATAACTGCCGTATGCAATAACTGCCGTATGCTTTATGAAAAATTGAAAAGCAATGACAGCCATCACTCGAAGAACAAGTAAACAACCCAGCGTTCCTGAGCCAGCTTCCAAGTTTTCCATTTTTCTAGCTGCTTTTTTGAATGTTTGCACATCTGTCAACACTTATTTTTTTTGTCTGTTGCAATCCTCAAATAAGTTTTCTTTCTTTTAAAAAGGTGTATGACTTACAAATCCAAATGATATCCCTCTGAATCAAACAGAATTATTTTCCTCCCGTGAAATACACAACTATAAAAAATGGCTGCCGCTTACAGGTCTAATATAAAGTCGCATTAAGTAACAGAAATATGGATGGATGATTGGACTTTTACTCCTACAAGAATTGTTTGTTTTTATTATTAAAACAAGCGATCATTCATATTTTTGTGTCGTCTTTACGGAGTAGTGGCGACATATAGGGATCACTTCTCCGTCGTCTGTATGTCCGTCTGTCTGTCTGTCCGTCTGTCCGTCCGTCCGTCACAAAACTTGTCCGGACTACTCCTCATAAACTACTGGTGCAATTTCATCCAAACTTTACAGGAATGATCAGTACCAAGTCTAGTTGTGCATATTGTCAGCATTTTCCGGTTCAATGATTTTTGTCAGAGTTATGGCCCTTTAATAATTTTTAATTTTAAAGTTTGTCCGGACTACTTCTCTTATACCACTAATGCAATTTCAATGAAACTTTACAGGATTGATCTGTAGCTCAAGTCCTTGCGCATATTGCACGGGTTTTCCTGTTGAATGATTTTTGGCCGAGTTATGGCCCTTTGATAAAAAGGTTTCTTTTTCTGTGTGTTGCCAGATACACAAAAGCTTGTCCGGACTACTCCTCATAAACTACTGGTGCAATTTCATCCAAACTTTACAGGAATGATCAGTACCAAGTCTAGTTGTGCATATTGTCAGCATTTTCCGGTTCAATGATTTTTGTTTTGAGTTATGGCCCTTTAATAATTTTTATTTTTAAAGTTTGTCCAGACTACTTCTCTTATACCACTTATGCAATTTCAATGAAACTTTACAGGATTGATCTGTAGCTCAAGTCCTTGCGCATATTGCACGGGTTTTCCGGTTGAATGATTTTTAGCCGAGTTATGGCCCTTTGATAAAAAGGTGTTTTTTTCTGTGTGTTGCCAGATACGCAAAAGCTTGTCCGGACTACTCCTCATAAACTACTGGTGCAATTTTATCCAAATTTTACAGGAATGATCAGTACAAAGTGGTTAGTCTAGTTGTGCACTGTCCGTCTGTCTGTCCGTCTGTCACAAAATTTGTCCCAACATGAAATTGGCCATCATGAGGCGACACATGTGATTACTGATCGCTCTTGTTTTAATAAAATGAATAATATCACCGCCATTTAACGTTGATTGTCGGACTTATTTTTTCAGCTCAAGACTTCTTGTTTTTAATGAGAAATTCCGACTAAATGGGGCTCTCAATGGGGAAAACAGATTTTAATATTAACGTAAATATTATGGAAATTTCGTTTTTAAGCATAAAATAAAAAGAAAATTTGTTTGTTGTGTAAGATGTAATTTTATTTCATCTTACACACAAACAAACAAATATCTTCTATATCATGAATATGCGACGCAAAGTTAATTATGCAGCGTCAAACAAAAATGTGGCCTGTTTTCCCTCAAAAAGTTTAGGGTCGGTGGCTAAAAATAGGATAGGTAGGGACACCGGAAACAAACATTTTTTAGGCCTTACAGCATACGAAATAAGATTCTATTCAGTCTTAATTTTTTTAGATTGACCTATCCACTAAAACAAGAAAATTTCTGCTCCACGAAAAATAATGATTTTGCAGTATATGCAACAAGTGCTGGTATTTATAGCAGACAATAGAGATAAAGGGTCATATTTCCAATATGGATTTTTTTTAAGCTTTCAAGTTTGTTATGTTTTTGGTGGGGCGATGGGGTCGGGGTCATTTACTATTTACTTACTATAAGCTGTGAAGAGACGAGCGATTGAAAATACTAAACAAAACTGGATCAGTGTACTTGCAATTTGATTTTATGTTCCTCATGTGTACACTTTATGAATTAAGTGGTTTAGGGATAAACACATTTTTAAAAAGAACGCGTCTCTGATGTATCAAAATGTTTTTGTTTGACAAATTTGCTATATATAGTGATAAACTTGATCTTGATGATTAAATCAATGTTATGTATGCAGTCATGGGTAGTAGCCAAAATAAGTTATTCATGCATAAGAATTATTTGATAAAAAAAACTAAACTAAATTTAAAACTTAAACACAAAAACAGGAACAGAAAATTAAAGTTATAAATGAGCGCCATGCACGTGAATACGTTGTAGATAAACAACTTGACAAAGAGTGTAAATATAACCAAAATCTTCCTGTGTCCATCACATGCACCGGTCACTTACCGAGGACTTTGACTTTTAGATTGTGAATGATACTGACATTACATTTACGTATTTTTGTATTTATTTGCAGATTGCAACATACAGTTTAATACAGATGTCACATGATAAATACCGTTTTATTAAGGAAACATAAGAGAAATCAACGGAAGTGTTACATACAAAGAAGAGGAAATGAAATATGGTAATAAGAGATAGCAAACGAGGAGATACATTCAAAGCACGTGCAATTGAGGTAAAATTTAATACTTATATAGGAACTGAATTCTTTTCTTGTTATACTATACGCACATGTTAAATGTAACGACGCCCGACGCCAATCTCCCCCCCGGGTTTAGCGCGTTTTTTACTTAAGAATTAAAAACCTCAGGTAAAGGCTTTGCCATGCTAAGATAGTGGGGTAATGGAAGAGAGAATTCCGCTAAATTGCACTCGCACTCCGGATTGAACTAATCCTTTGAAACAAAACCACCGTATATACCCGCCAGAGCGGGTTGTAATACGCGGATATCTCTCAGGGTCAGGGATATCTCTCAGGCTGACCCGGGGGTGGTGATTGTTTACAATTTACTGCTGCCTTATATTCCCACAATTGATGTATAAAGAACAAGTTCAGTTGTAGTTATTAAATTTGAAATTGCTATTGTATAATTTGAATGTATAACGATGACTTCAAATTTCCGCTTTGAATTCAGATGTAGTTGAATCTATTGATTGTTTTTACTTTATATTAAATTTGAATTTGTGTCTCCGTTGCCGAGTGGCTTAGTTTACTGAAATTGCTATCCAGCCAGCTTTTACGCGAGTTCGATGGTTCTTCTCGGGTGCCTGCTCCTGTTTGAAAACAAAATGCACGAACGAGCACACGAGATCTTTCTTCTCCTATATATAAAGTCGCCTGTATGGCCTTTACGATGATAATGTCGGTGTAACTTAAACTTCAACAAACTATACTCAAATGAAAACAAGATAAAATTCATTTTAAAAAGCTGGATAAAATATGCATACATTTGATCATGATAACGAATTGGCATACCTTGTCAGGTCGTTTATTTAGCAACATGTTTATCTACTGATAATCCCCGACAGCTACATGTTATTTTTATAATATTCCTGATAAGATGACATTTATTCATTAGTTATTGATTTCATTTCACACCTTATAAAATACATTGTATATGTTATTTGTTTACAGCGTTTGAACCATGTGATGTTCCAACAGAAATTATTATCCATTCATACTTATGATTATACTCTTGACATCATTTTAATTCGGTGATAAACTTGCTGAGATGGACTGTAACGAGCTTTTTAGTAATTTGATAACTATTCAAACTATGGTACTTACTATCTTAACCAGAAATTATTGCCAAATACTTTCATTTGCATGGTAAGTCGTAGAGGGTAATTAAGTAGGTAACTAAATGTTGCGTCATAAATTTGCTGACGCTCCTTTCATTAATTTCCATTAGCACAGTGAATAAATAATCCCTCACCGTCTGTCAATTGTCATTCGGCTTTAATTAAACACAATCTTTTCTTAAAGGCACATTATTTCGCAGAAATCCATATTTTCTTAAATCTTTAGAAATATCAAGCATGTGTTGAAGGATGTTGCACTGAATGTGCAGAAATGTGTCTTAAAGGTAGCATAATGTCAAGTAGTATATCCACTTCCATACAAAATACTCATTCACTATTATAATTTTACTAATTGCCAAAAACAACAGAAGCAAAAATCAAAGCACAGAAGGCGCTGAATTTGTTTGGGTCTCAGAATGTAAGAAAGGTGCAGGTTGTGAGATTATATGTTTAGTGCCACCAATGCTTTCCAGCGTTTTAATTGTAGTAAATTGGCTATTAGACTAATTGCAACACTGATATTCAATCCAATGTTTATTTGACTTTAACAATTTAAAAAAATGAGTAACCTTTACTGGGATTTGAACTCCAGACCTCTCGCTTCCTAAGCGAGCCCGAAAACCCTTCAGCCACGGTGAATTTATATGTGAACGGCCTGAAGAAAACCATATTATTCTAAATTAGGGCTTGTAACGACTTTAACTGTTGTTTAACACAGATGTAAATAATCCTGGAGCTTACTATAAGCATGTATATTTATAAAGAATCAAACGGCTGCAAGTTCTGTGGTATTTTCTGATCTTTGCAATCGTACTGTATATCTGTATGCATTTTCCTGTATAAGTTTATTTTTTATGTATTATAATTCCTTTTGTAACCAGAGTTTGATACATCCGTAATTCTGCATAACTAGAGTTGCATCAAAAAATCATTTATGTCCTTTTTTTACGACAGCCACACTTTATCTTTGTATATCATGGCTACTTCCTTAACAAAAACACTTAAAAAAAAGAATTTAACAAAAAAAAAAAGTATTCTCGACTGGGATACGAACTCGAGACCTCTCACTCACGAGGCGAGCGCGTTACCCTTGTACCACGGAAAGTTATACACAGTGTGTCTGAATAATATCAAATCATTCTAAATTTGGAACTTCCATTGCAGTTCGGGTTTTAATCCTTATTAATTTCGAGGTATTTTGTTTAGGCTAAACCTGTTGTTTATAATTGAAGTAGATATTTTAGCAAAAATCCTCTCGCCCAAACGGTCCGGCATGTAGAATCTATATATTCCACTACTCGGTTTGTGTAGTATTCGGTAATCAACATGGCTAAAAATAGTATTTTCATTGATAAAATCATATTCATCCGCGTAATTTGTGATTGTGCATTTATTGACAATTCTATAAGCCAACGCTATTGTTTAACTTTAAATGCGTTGTAATTTGTTGGATACTTGTAACAAAATAAAATATTTCTTTCTTTTAAATCGCTAGTTTTTAGCTGTTTTGAGAACTACTTGTTGTTAGGTTTGTAGTAAACTTCTGTGTCAGAGATTGAATGTCCGCTTTGTATTTAGTTATTTTCGATCAGAAAATACAATAAAACAATATTAGAAATCTTCGACCATTCTGGAATTACTTTGCTTGAAAATTGATGCGCCTGTCTTTGACCATCTTTACGCAGTGATCTCCCCTGAATTTTTCGGCTTTAGTGTACATACAAAAGGGAAGTAACCGCTCCAAAAAATTGGACTACTTTCGGCATTTGCAATTAGCAACATTAGACTCTGAAATTTCGCTACCATTATTTGTTTGGTCTGACGACCCAAACAAATAACAAGTTCATGTAATTGGCAAATAAGAAACTTTTTGATGAAAGATATAACAAGACACCAAAATTTAAACGCTTTTGAGAAATAAAAATAAAAGCATTTCTGAAGCATAATGGGCCTTTAACACTTTCCTTGTGAAAATGTGTTGTTGTTGTTGGTTTTTTGTGAAGACTGCCCCTAATAAATATTACATGTACTAATTGTCATACTGACCGCCATACTAACAATTAAAACATTTATGATTTCAAACCATATCGTTGCAGGTGTGACATCATGGCGTCATTAGATGACGACAACAATTCTGGAAAATTATATCCGCTTCCAATATATTTTGAGAATGACGGTTCATCAAGAGAAACTATGCCAGCTGAGGTGCGTGGCCGTGGAAGAAGCAGACCACCTGCTCCTTACAGGGGTCGATCTCGGGGCGGCCGTAGAGGATCCCACCATGGAGACAATAATGGAACAGATGGTACGCAGGTCACATCTAATGAAAGAGGGCGAAACAGGGGTAATTTGATACACCGAGGTCGAGGGAGGGGAGGTTTTCGTCGTGGGGCTCTTACATCAGATGAATCTGAAAGACAAAATTTAGAAACTGAAAATTGTAACACAAATAACAGCGAAGAACAGGTAAGAAGAAGAAGACCCGAGTCTCGGGATAGGAGACAGAGGCCTGAGGTCACGGATAATTTTTCTGAATCCGAAACGTTTAATCAGCAGAATGTTAGAAGTAATAAAAAACCTTCCAATTTTAGGGGAAATATTTTAAAATTAATTAAAAGCGATGATCCAGATGGTGTAGTGCTAGATATTGTACAGTCTAGAAGTGGGTTTGTTGAGTATATATCTAAAACACCTGATCCAAAAGCTGTTTTTAACATAATTGATTTATTGTGCAAAGTAACAGACTCTAGCTTGCTTGTGCATAGAAGAGAGGTAATGGAAGAAGTTGAAAAAAGTTTTCTTCACAATTTGACGGAAATATTGAATAAGATAAGTATGAAAGATAAAGATACTTATTGCCTTTGGCATTCCAAGGAAAATCTTCTTCGATTCTTAAGCAATGTTTCAAAGTTGATCAGCATGGTGGTAACGACCCTTCCGTCGTCATTAAGTAAGTGCAAAAGTGTGATAACGGCAATTAAAGATGTAAAAGAGGAGCATAATGTAAGCGGTATAGAGGATGCTCTAAATGAGGTTGATGATGTTTTTAAAAGGGAAAAAGAGGCAAAACAAAGGTTAGAAGAAGCGAGCGAGAGCAGAAAGCATCGGCAAACTATACCATTTGGGAAAGTACCTGGATTCGAGGAAATGGGACTTCCGCCCGACAACTTTCGTGAAATATCAATATTTCCTACTTTAAAAGACTTGCAAGTAGATGAAAAGCCATTTCTAAGAGCTAATAAGACCAAGGGAAAATACGACAGTTTAGATACTTATCTTGATGTTCAGTTTAGGTTACTTAGAGAAGATTATGTCCAGCCTTTGAGAAAAGGTATCACTGAATACAGAACAGCCATTAAGGAAGGGGTAAAAATAACACGACTACGAGATATCCGTTTATATCATGGAGTGCAAATATTACGACCAGTTTGTTCAGGTCGCGGTATCAATCATATACTGCAATTTGATACAAGTAATTTCAAAAGAATGAATTGGATTGCGTCAAGGAGACTTCTGTATGGCTCACTAGTGTGTCTTTCAAAAGACCATTTTGACACTGTCTATTATGCAACAGTCACTGAGAGGGATGCAAAAGATTTAAGCGACGGATTTATTCAGGTTTATTTTGAGAAGAAAGAAGATATGCTTGAAATTCTGCCAAATGACGTTTTCGTTATGGCTGAAACTACAGCTTATTTTGAGGCATTTCGTTATGTGCTAGAGGGTTTACAAGAAATGGATTGTAATATGCCGCTGCAACGGTATATAATTGATTGTGAAACAACTCTGCAACCACCAAAATACTTAATATACCCTGATAGACAAAAGTATGACTTTACCTGCTTATTAAAAGACGTTACACAAAGCGCAAAATTCCCGGTACTTGATACACAAAAATGGCCACCTGCATCAGATCTTGGATTAGATTCTTCGCAGTATGAGGCAATAGTGAAAGCTATAACCCAAGAGCTTGCAATAATACAGGGTCCACCGGGTACAGGCAAAACGTTCGTGGGTCTAAAAATAGCGGAACTTCTTCTTAGTAATTCCATCTCGTGGAAAAGGAAACAAGAATGTCCAATTTTAGTCGTTTGTTACACAAATCATGCATTAGATCAATTTCTTGAGGGTATTTCTAGGTTCTCTGACGGGCAGATTGTTAGAATCGGTGGCAGGTGTAAATCGGACACTCTGCAATCTTTTATTCTTAAGAATATCAAACGTCAGAGAAAAGAAGAGAAAAAGATGTCATTTAGAGTGATGCAAAGCGAAAGGGACTGTAGAGGTCAGCTTAAAGACAGTGAACGAAAAATTGAACAGATAAGCAATCAGCTGAAGAACACCTCTATCAAATTAATTTCATACAACAATCTCAGCCCGTTTATGACTGAAGAACAAAGAAATGCTTTCGAAGATAATATATCAGATAATTCATTGAATAACTGTCTCTCTAAATGGCTTTCTTTTGTAAGTCCAAATGAAGGTGAAACAACTAACGAATCAGCGCCTGACAAATTTAAACAAGTTTGGAAACTTGCTATACTAGAAAATGTGACAGATCTCCCTGAATTCGAACGCAATTCGTTACGTTACGTATGGGACCTTGAACTTGGTAGACGTGCGGAATTGTACAAATCCTGGATTTCAGAGTTCATAGAAAACATTCGGTTTAAGGTTGAAAATGAATCCGGACCAAAAGACCATTATCTAAGCCTTTTATCTAAAGCAAACGACACAATCCTCGATATAGAAACGTTGCTAGAATACGTTTCTAAGCAAACAACTCGAATACAGGTTCAAATGCTCATTGCTGGTCAGGTAGTCTTAACAGATAATGTTATGATGAAGTGGCTTGAACTTACAGGCAAAAAGAAAGCTGTGCCATTGATTCGGGCTGTACTCGAAACTATTGCTAGTAATGATGGCGATAAGGGTACAACAGAGGAAAATGAAATTGAAAACGAAGATAATGATTTAGAAGAGGAAAGACAGCTTGACGAAGACGATGATTTTTCATATGACTTTAGCAAACCAAAGGATATAAAAAGAAATCAAAACAAAAGTGATGATGAATGGCTTGTTAATTTTGACGAAAGAAAGAGCGCACATAAAGTAAAAAATATGTTTAATTCTGCAAAGAAATTGAGTGCAGTAAAAGCTGAATTATACGAAGATGTCTGGAGGCTGCCTAACAACGTCCGTTGTGAGCTATATTGTTACTGGGTACAAGTATATCGCCAATATCTTAAAGCCGAAGTTAAAATTCACGAAGAGGAATTTAATAAAGCAACCGAAAAGCTAGCAGAAGTAAGAGATATGGAAACTCTGGAAATACTAAAAGAAGCGAATATAATGGGTATGACAACTACGGGAGCGGCAAAATATAGGAAGCTTTTGCAGTCTGTGCGTCCTAAAATTATAATTGTTGAAGAAGCCGCAGAAGTTTTAGAGTCCCATATTGTGACAACATTGAACGAAAACTGCCAACATCTTATACTTATAGGTGACCACAAACAACTGCGGCCATCCACAACTGTTTACGAACTTTCTAAAAGATATGATATGGACATATCTCTTTTTGAAAGAATGGTACGTAACGAAGTTCCATGTGTAACACTAGAAGAACAACACAGAATGAGACCCGAAGTATCGGTTTTGTTACGACATGCAAATTTATACCCACAACTCAGAGATCATGAAAGTGTTCTTATTTATGACAACATCAAAGGGGTGGATGAAAACATTCAATTTATCGACCACGACGAGCCTGAAGCAACACAACAAGATTCAACAAGTTACTCAAATCCCCATGAAGCAAAGTTTATAGCGGCAATGTGTCAGTACTTGTTGAATCAAGGTTATTTTCCAGACCAAATCACTGTTATTACACCTTATATGGGTCAGGTACTTCTTTTAAGAAGGGAAATGCCAAAAGTAAAATTTGAAGGAGTCCGAATTACAGCGGTAGACAATTTCCAAGGCGAGGAGAACGACATAATTTTATTGTCATTGGTACGAAGCGGGTCATATGATATTAGAAAAAGTAGAGGACGAAATAAGATTGGGTTTGTTGGTATAGAGAATAGAATATGCGTTTCGCTCTCAAGAGCAAAGAAAGGACTATATGTCATCGGTAATTTTAAGCTGATGGAAGCAAATAGTTCAATGTGGGAAGACATGGTGCGTGACATGAGGGACAAAGGACTTGTGAAAAGAAGTGTGACGTTACGTTGCCAGAATCATCCCGAACAAACTGTGTATGCAGACAAGGCTTCTGACTTCGATAAGGTACCTAATGGCGGATGTAAAAGGCCATGTGATGGAAAACTACCATGTGGTCATAGATGTCCTAAAAGCTGTCACATTATCGACAGTGACCACATGAAGGCTTCTTGTCTGATGCCTTGTAACAAAGTTATATGTGACTTTGGACATAAATGTGTACAGAAATGCTATCAGAAGTGTGGAAAGTGTAACACATTTATAGAGAAAACAGTACCAATGTGCGGGCACAAAGTTAACATGCCATGTCACATGGAACCTTCCAAATGGCTGTGTAAGACAATTTGTACTTTCCAATTGCCTTGTGGACATCCTTGCAATAAATCATGTCATGATTGTACGTCAACCAAGACACATGAGCAAAATTGCCAGAAAGATGTTACAAAGATACTACCTTGTAAACATACAGCCGAAATGAAGTGTTGCGTGGAAATAAGTTCTTATACATGCAAAGTGCCTTGTAGTGAAATTCTTAACTGTAACCATAGGTGCTCGGGAACATGTGGAACTTGCTTTTATGGACGAATTCACAAAAGTTGTAAGGGCACTTGTGGTAAACCTCTACCTTGTGGTCACATTTGCAAATTTCCATGCAGTGAAGTTTGTCCACCATGCACAAGGACATGCGAGTGGAAGTGTTCACATAATACATCGTGCAAAAGAAAATGTTGGGAGGAATGTGAATCCTGCAGGTACCCTTGTGCTTACACATGTAAACATAAAACATGTGAACAAGAATGTTACGAAGAATGTTCAGATGGTCCATGCGAGGAACGCTGCAAGATCGAATTGAAATGTGGACATATTTGTAGAGGAAAATGTGGCGAAACTTGCATATGCATCATCTGTTCAGGACGTAATTTACGAAATGATATTGGTGATACATTTGATACCGATTCAGTATTTATTCAGCTCCCGAACTGTCAATGTATATTTGAAATTCGTCGGCTTGAGTTAAGCATGGAACGTGAAGTTACCTCCCGGCACGGAGATTTATTTAAACACTGTCCACATTGCTCGAAACCTATAACAAAGAATATAAAGCGATACTCAAATGAATTGAAGAGAACACGGAGAAAAATAACCGAAAAGTATAGAGTAGTTTTGGGTTCAGAAGCAGACAGGAGAAAAGATGCATTAAAGCTGATGCAAGGATTCAAGGCACTGAAGAAATACGGTCTTACGGAATTAGAGCTCAAACGTTTACTGCTACAATTTCAAAATGCAGATAATATCATTGGGTTGCGCATAGCAGCCCAGAAGTTAGATAAACTGAAGGAACTGCTTCCAATCCTTAACGATGTAAAAAATCTCGACAGTTCGGGTATAGTATTTTCGAAGTCAAAGAAGGTAGAGCGTTTAGTTAACCCACAACTTCTTCGAGATACTTTGATAGAGGGAAGGAAGTTTACAACAAAACAATTTTGGAGTGAAGTACAAATGGAAATTGATAGACTGCGACTTGTTTTACGGCTATTCATTTTGCAAGAGTACTACGATATAAAGCACAAATCAAGTAGACCTGAGAATGTGTTTGACCTTGTCTTTGAAATATTATCACATAAAGTTTTAGACGAAAAAACGATACAGACATTGAAAAGAACACAAGAGACCCTAGAGCGTGCAAAGGATAATGACGCAGTAGACGAGAGAGTCATTTCAAACCTGTCATTTGATTTACTTGTTTTAAAGAGTAGACATGAAAATCAACGGCCGACAAAAACCTCCACGGATAAGAAAACAGACCGTTTTAGATTTTCAGGGGACGTCATGGAAGATGAGACAAAGGAAGTTAAAAAAACAGACGAATTATTTAACGAATTAATGAATTTTGAAAATTCAAGTTCTAATGCAAAACCATCTGGTAGAGTTCGTCAACGCAGTTCTATGACCAAAATACATGGTGTACCTGATCAAAATGAGAGTAAAATGTCAGGAACATCAGTTCATTCATTGAGTGTCTCAGTTGCAGACGCTGGTGATATTGCTGTCAAGGCACCTTCCTCTGATATATATTTGGGATCTGATTCATTTGAACCTGTGAGTATAACAACATCACAAAGCTCCCGAGAAAACGAATCTACGGAATTAACTTCTGAAATAGAAATTGTCTATAATAATGACTTTGGCACCCTCGTTTGAGTATATTCGGAAGTTAAAAATAAACAACAACACAAAAACTAACAAACAAAAAACTATTGCTTTAAACTCGCTACAAATTGGGTGAATTCTAGAAACTTTCTTTCACTGACGGATATATACAAACAAAAATTAAACAAACAATTTGTCAATAGAACTACACTACAGCAGTACACGTTAACATTTAAAATCCATTCCAAAGAAATTTATAATTACGTTTGATCGGTAGATTACTAGACTAGATAAAACATTTTTGTTCATCATTCAGAGTTAATATACTTTCATTCTGTAAGTTAACAATAATATTCAGTTCTTAGTGTGAAATATCAATAAACAAGCGAAGCTAAAGAAAAAGGATACTACTATAAGAGTTAATCATAGGATTTAACTTAAGTGGAGCTATTATTGTTGTTTTGTTTATACTGGATTTGTTAAATTGCTGATCACTTGGATTTTTCATACCACGAGGGAGTCGTAAAACTTCAATAGAAGCGTTTTGTAATTAACATACATATTGGAGGTTTATAAAATATATTTGATTTGTTGATTTCCCAGGCACTAGCGTGTATTCTTTTGGAAGTACCCCCTGCTTTCACTTCTTATTTGATAGCCAGGCACACAGTGAAGCATTTGAATAAACTTGTGCATATGTTTTGAATAACAATAAATTGTAGTGGTAGAAATTTGTATTTTATAGTGTTTATAATATTACTGTTTTATTGTTCTAGCTCTGTTGCCAGTCTTACTATAATAATGTTTAATGTCTAAACAAACTTTTAGCTCACCTTAAGTAGCACTTTATGCTCAGCGGTGAGCTTTTGTGATGGCTATTTGTCCGTCGTTCGTTTTTCCTCACCCGTCGTTATCCACAATTTTATTTTTTAAACAACATTTCCAAAACCATCTGCTGGATTTTGAACAAGCGTACCAGGAATGGTAGTAAGATGATCCTCTACAAAGGATAAAAAAATGGCCAGTCTGCTGCATAAGTAGGTCACAGGAGCTAAAATAGATTGTAATCTTTCAAAATCTTCTGACAACAACAATGCCAAAAAATTTCATATTAAGCATGTTGCGTAACTTTGTTGTCCTTTACAATATTAATGTAAGTCATGCCTTTGGGTCAAAATTGTCCTCACCCTGGGGATAGGTTTATATAATAAAATATATAAAAGTTTTTGATGAAACTACTATGCATAGAGCTTAGATATTTGGTATGTAGCATTGTTAAGTGGTCCTCCTCTAAGGTCACTTAGTTTACATAGTCTTGAGAAGTACAAACTGTCTTAGAGCTAATTATACCCCCACCACAAAATGTGGGGGGGGGGCTATAATGGATTCGCTTTGTCGCGTCGGTCGGTCGGTCGGTCAGTCGGTCGGTTTTTCGGGTTTTTTTTTCGGTCCGTCCGTCTCCATTTTCGTGTCCGCTCTATAACTCCTATAAACTTGAAGGGATTTTCTTCAAATTGGCTCAATGTCACCTCAGCAAGGGATGTGCAGAACCCATGTTGCCCAGTGTTCAGACTCAAGGTTCAAGTCACAATTGAAGGTCAAAAAATCAAACAAAATCATATATTAACAGTATTGTTTCGTGTCCGCCTCTGTATTCCTACAATAATTTTGAAATGATTATTCTTCAAAAACTTGGCTAAAATGTTCACCTCAGCAAGGGGATGTGCAAGAACCCATGTTGCCCATTTTGTCAGCTCAGGTCCAAGGTCACAATGAAGGTCAAATTATCAAACCAAATCATATATTAGACGTATGTCGTGTCCGCTCTGTAGGTCCTAAACAATAAATTGAAAGATTTCTTTCAAACCTTGGCTAAAAATGTTCACCTCAACAAGGGATGTGCAGAACCCATGTTGCCCATTGTGTCATTTTAAGGTCAAGGCCCGATTGAAGGTCAAAATATCAAATAAATCAAAATATTTTTACACAATATGTCATGTCCGCTCTGTAAGTCCTACACTAATTGAAAATTTTCTTCAAACTTGGAACTTCAAATGTTCATTTCACAATGGGTGTGCAGAACCCATGTTGCTCATGTGTCAGCTCAAGGTCAAAGTTTCACAGTTGAAGGTCAAATATCAAACAATTAAATATTAACAGTATATGTCGTGTCCGCTCTGTAAGTCCTACACTTATGGAAAGATTTCTTCAAACTTGGCTCAAATGTTCACCCTCAACAAGGTTATGTGCAGAACCCATGTCACTCTTTTGCCCCAGCTTCAGGTCAAGGTCACACTTGAAAGTCAAAAATTCACTTAGAAAATGTTCATTTAAAATTTAAAATATATCTGAATATTTCTGAATCTAGGAAAGGTATTTGCTTGAAACTTAAAATATAAAAATGAAGTGTCACAATTAAGATATGCTGGACGTCAAGTTTTCATAACTCTGTATTGCATTTTAACAAAGTTATGCCCTTTTTAATCTTCAAATTTACATACAATCACATATTAGACAATATGTTGTGTCAGCTCTATAAATCCTATACTAATGAATTTCTTCAAACTTTCTCTCAAATGTTCAAAATTATGTTCTATGGCAGGACTAAAGTCATCAGACTTGAAAACAGAAAATGTTCTTAGATTAAACTTGAATATTTTCGGAAACTAGCATAGGTATTTGCTTGAAACTTAAAAGATATATGAGGTGTCACAATTACAATATGCAGGTCAAGTTTCATAACTCTGTATTGGATTTTGACAAAGTTATGCCCCTTTTTAAGTCTTTAAATTTACATACAATCAATACTAGACAATATGTTGTGTCCGCTCTATAAATTCTATACTAATGGAAGGATTTTCTTCAAACTTTACTCAAATGTTTCACTCCAATTGGGCGATGTGCAGAACCCATCTTACCCTTGTGCCAGCTGAAGGTCAAGGCCACACTTGAAGGTCAAAAATTGACTTATAAAAAGTTTAGTATATTGGGAAAATGAAAGGTTATTTGTAACTGTTTCGAACATGATTTGATAATAGATATTTTTACTATTACCTGTACAATTAGTCTTTTTTTCACCAGAGATAATTTCTTTTTATGTATTTGTGTCACTTAAGTTATTCCCTTAACCACCTTTCCAAGTTGTCTTCTGTCAAGGACATTGGTGGGGGTATGAATCGCATTCAGCGATAGTTCTAGTTTTCTCTGAAATTGCAATGCCCAGATCTTAGATACTTAGCATGTTGAATCATCTTGTGGTCTTCTGTAAAGGTCATATAAGTAATGTTTCTTTGTTCAAAATATTCCCCGACCTCGAGGTCATTTAGTTTATATAAAATTGTATAGAAAAATTCATTATTAAGTCTTCTTTTGTGCAACTAGGATTCTCACATTTTAGGTATTTTGCATGTAGTATAGCCTAGTGAAGCTCTACAAAATTGATATGATTAATGCCAGGAGGTCAAAAAATTGGGTCACTTTGTTAATATATACTTACAAAGTAGAAAAATTCAATTTAGTATTCTTGTGTGAAATTGCAATTTTACAATTTTGCATTTCGTAGCAGACATATGAGTTTTTTAGGCTATGCAGCTTGGGCAAAAGATGACAAACCCAATGTGTCCTCATTACTGACCTTATAATAGAAAAAATAATAAGATTTACCCTGTCTAGCAATGGCGCTCAGATGGGCGAACCAGGGCCATCATAACCCTCTTGTTTATGATTACTATGTGCAAGGATTGTTTAACAAAATTGTGAGCGTTTTTGAAATGTGTTGCATATTGTATTATTGCTTCATGTTATTTTATGTATTTCCTTAGTATGACTACTTATATTGATACTATGACTACTTATTCAGACTTTTTTCATGCGATTTAAACTATTCCCATTTGTTTTGCAAGAAAATATTGATAAGATATTGATCATTTTATTTTATGCTCACTTTTTCTAACTCATTTATCCCATACTTTTGTGGACGCTATTTTTGCTTTGAAGTTCTGTTCATTTGTTTTGCATTTAATTTTGTGAATAGATTCAATAGTTTTAATTCAGAAGCTAATACAATATGAGAAGCAAAGACCATTCATTCATGTTTACATTAGAAATACAATATGAGTATTTATAACATTGTATGCCTATTTAAAGTTTTTGTTTACAATAGATTTGGTTTTCTTATATAAAAGAAAAATATTTTATATTAAAGCCTTTTACATACACACTAAAAATTCAAATCGCATGTGATCCTCGCAATAGATGATCCATAGTCTTGAGTTTTTCTTTATTTTTAAAAATATGTTGTTGAGCATAAAATACTTTTCATTCAAGTAAACCCATATGTTGTCTTAAAACATAAAAAAAATGCAAAAACTTCTTCGGAAAAATGCTTGTTTGATATGGAATCAGGTCTAGAGGTCATGATTTCGACATTTTATGTTAAATATTCATTTGTAAACATAGTATTTAAAGCATTTCAACCATGTAGGTTTAAGGAAAATAAAGACGATAGGAACTTTTTGTTGCTTTCAAGTTATTGGCTTATCTTCAAACACTTTTTTAACTTTTGATTGAAACATGTGCCATATAATTGTGCTAAATATCGTGTTTTTGTCATAAATACTATATATTAGTTTTTTATTGCTATTTACTAGTACTTATTGGATGTTATATACTAGTATTAGTTGGATGTTACAAACTAGTATTTATTGAATAATAAGACATTGTGAATATTTAACAATGCTAACATTTCTTAAATTAATTTTGTTTTATGTTTTATTTAGTAGCATATATTAAGCATATGAATATAGATTGAACGTTGCGTTATTGTAATTGCTTATATCTCGTATTACAAGGGTCTCCATGTGAGAAAAAAATCACTGTTTTAAAATATGAAATATTTTGTTATCTCACAAACCTGCGGGTTGAGAAGATCATCTTAAATATTACACTCTCTGAACAATTATGTTTTTAAATATCCATACTGGCATGATACATTTTAAAATAACTTCACCAGTCAGGTTTATATAGGGTATATTAGTGTAGGTTCAATACTTAAGTTATTGAACGAGTGGAATAAAATTATACTATGTATTTTTATATACGGCAATCATGAGATTATTTTATTAATTCAGTATTAAAGCTACACGAATATTATATTCTGTTATCATGTATCCAAAATTAAGAACCTTTTACGGCAAAAATAAGCACGTTTCCATTGACGAGTCATTTGTAACGCATTTAGCGCGTCTTTATACATACTATGTTTGTTTAACGCAAATAAATTCACAACAAAGTATACGCACGGTTGTGCAATACCGTTTTAACGGAGTCTCCTAAGCTGAATTATATTTCTATGTACGTTTAATTTTTAAAATTTTGCATATGAGCAAACTTGATTTAGAATTCATCAAATTATATATGATTTTTGTTAAGGATGAAATATGTTGAAATTACCAAATGTCATCGCCAACTGTTTTGGCATTTATTCTGTACTTATATAGACTGGATTAAATAGACTGAGCATATATTATAAAACACGTGCATAGTTGTCAGTATATATACCCTTACTATGTAATATTGTTATAGATATATTGTTCAAGATTTATATACATATAATGGTACAATACATTAGCTTGATACATGTCTGCTTACATACTTTAAGTGTTCATGGGAATGGACTAATGTTTTGAAACTTTTTTAAAGTTATAAACATATTGAATAAAACATAAATACTTTGATTCTTAAAGTTTCCGTATGTTGTAATTAAGAATGTAACAACGCTTAAGTAAAATTTTATATATGTATGTAATTATTCTAAAACAATTTCCAAACATCCAATTATATGTTAAATATGTACTGCAAATCTTTATACACATTATATATGTAAAAATTAAATTATATGTATTTTTTTCTTATTGATAAAATTGTCTTAGACTTTATCAAAAATAAATTTCTAATTGCCTCCATTTATTTACATGAAATGTAAAATTCGGTAATATCTTTACAAATTATGCTTTTTGGAACTTATAATATTGATAAATCTTCATTTGAACATCATATTTATGATATAAAACCATACAAAATTGAGTTACAAGATCTTTAATTATTTAATATCTTTAATATTTCATATTCAGGCGTCTGCTACATGTTTTGTAGTTACAAGGACAGACTGAAAACAATGTTTTGATGGTTTTTTGAGTGATTTAAATCATACTCTATTAATTTTTAATTATGTTTGTGTTTTTAAAATGTTTGGAAATGAATAAAAGGGTGTGAAAAAAGCATGACTTGGTTTCGTTAGTTTAGAAAATTTCTATTTTGTATTGGTCATGACGCATTATAAAATCGCTTTATAAAGAGCGGCTGTTGTTGAGTACTTCATATCCAAAGTAAGCCCTCTTTGTAGAAATATTGATCAATGAACAAAGTCCCTAGATAAAGCTACAGTCTCACTGACATCCCGGCAGAGCCCCAGTAGACGTTCGGGGTGATCCGGGAACAACCGGGGTACATTCGTTACTCTACCGGCAACGTCCGGCATTCGACCCGGATGGAATAAAATATTTAATATCACCGGGATGATCCGGGAAGTAAAGCTTTGCCGGCTTAATCCTTAGCTCTGCCGGGAACGACCGGGGTTACACCGGGGAAGCACCGTAGCTCTTCCGGCACAAACCGGGGATAATCTGGGGTATGATATAGCCGGTAGAGCTACGGTAGAGCCCCGGTGAATGCTGACAGGGTCCCGGAGGATGCCGGCAGAGCCCCGGAGGATGACGATGGAGCTACGGTTGATCCCGGTAGAGCCCCGTCAAAGCCCGGTTCACTTCAAAATAATCACGACAATTTACGATGATTGCATTTGTTTGTATTAAAACCCTTCCCATTTTCCTTCTATCCAGTCTTGCATAAGGATTTTTCAGAAAATTATCATATTCTGGAACAATAGATAATTATTATATTAAATAAAAATTATGTATCAATGTAATCATTTTTGCGCGTTTTCAATCCACCGGAGTTCTACCGGGGCTCTGCCTGGATCGTTCTGGGCTCTGTCTGGATCGACCGGGGCTCTGCCTGGGTCAACCGGGGATCTTCCGGCGTCATCCGGGAACGACCGGGGAAGCACCGGCATGAACGGTAGCTTCACCTGGGCTCTGCCTTGATGATCCGGAGCGCATCCTGTGTGATAAGTTGGGAATTGCCGTAGTGCTGCCGGGGTTAGTGTGACCGCAGCAATAATTTCACCCCGGATAATTTCGGTCCTGGGCTCTGCCGGGAGTGAGACCGCAGCTTAACAGATAAAACCAGAGCAAAGAGACAATAAATGAATAATAAGTTGCAGCTGTAACCAGCATATAAAATATCATTTGAAAGTTTAATTCATCCTAGCACAATTGTGTTATGAATAAAGTAGAGCAAGGGCTTTGATTGTCGCCGTCCCAAAGCGGCGACATATTCAATGGACTTGTTTTGAAAACAATGTACCCTTACACGTATGAAAATGGTGCAGTTTCATTGGCACTTTATTTCTGTCCAAAACGATAATGGCTGAATATACTTGTCTATTTATTTACCTTATAATTTGAAAAGCATGATAGGCGTCACTTACACCATCAATCTTCCTTCTCATTAGAAGGAAGTACTATAATCGTTGACTCTCACTGAGACGTGACGATATTAGACTGCATCTTGAAGTCCAAATCATTCATAATTACTGGTGCAGACAGCTTGATATTAGGAAATTTTACTTAACAAAGTAACAAGTAGTTACAATAAATAGAACGAAGAAAGCGAGCGCTAGTAAGCTACTGTGGACTTTTATGGATAAAGAGTTTTCAGGAGGGATATTAGAAATGAATGATGGTTCGACATGACCAGCATTAATGCTCAAGATTTAATTTACTTTGAACTCTGCTACGCTTACAAGTATTATAAATATTATAAAGTATTTTTTATGATAAATCTGATTCCAGCTCCTCTTCTTGTACTGCTGTTTATAATCATATTTATGAATTGACTACTGACTTAAATAAATTTCGGTTGGCAAAACTTGTTAGATAAATGATACTGTAACCCAACGAATATTCGCGACCAATTAATATTCGCTTTATTCGCGGTTGGCCACGAAGCGCGAATATTTGTTTGCGCGAATAAGTCTGCACGATTTCGCGAATAAATTAGAGAGACATTTTGATTTTAGACGTTGTTCATGCAAAGCTACTTGACCGGATATATTCGAATTTTACGGGCACCTCTTAGGAAGTAATGAATTGTTATGAATATTGCCATAAAGCAATAAAAACACAAACTAAGTAAACTACTACTATTTCATAAATATCAAAAGAAATCTATGTCAATATAGCAATCAAAATAAACATCCACATTTTAATACAGTTTATGAAATACTAGTAGGCCTATTGTCAATTACGTTCCGTATAGGGTACTATTTGAATAAATCGTTTGACAAAAGTGGGAAAACTATCGAGCATCACAAAAGGCTATTGTTTTTTTTTTGATCCTATAAAATAATTGTTTGAGTGAATTGTTAAGACGAAGGTGGTATAAACCTATCGAGCATCACAAAAGGGTATTGGGTGTACATACTTACAAACAGTGAAATACAAGATTGTTTCATACTAGTATCGATTTTTACCCGTCAAACTAAACAGCCTGTATAGTTCAGTTAACATCCCTGCATTCTGAGGGTTTATTTTTTATCAACCACCCTTTTAACGACATGTTTAGAAATGAAGACGAACGATGCGTACATGTACATATATAGAGAAACTGTTTTGCTGAATTGTGATCACAATTCACTTACCAATACAATATAAGAATAGCGTATTGTTAATCCCATTTAAGACACCAATAATGACCTCAATTATTGAAGATTAATAGTCGGCTAATGGATTTGAGAGCCCCATCGGACTTTCCAATCCGCGAATTTTTTTTTTCGGAAATCAAGGAAACGCGGAAATTAATATTCGCGAATATGTCCGACCTCGGCAAAACGCGAAAATTTGTATCCGCGAATATAAATTGGGTTACAGTATTATCATCTTTAAACAGTTTTTTAATTCATGGCTATGTACGACGACTATTTCCTTCGTTGACTACGTCCTGTTATATTTGGTTATACGAACAATGTAATAAACTATTGTATTCTATAACGTTTCTTGTATAATCCTGATAATTAATTTAACAACATCGGAAAACATTATAAAGTTAAAGACACTTTATTAGCAAACATTTTAACATTTTGGATGAATGTTGAGACTACCACCTGATTAAGAAAGAAAATAATAGTAGCAAGGCAATATTTTAATAGCATATCTATTTCAAGTTTTTATATCGGTTTTTGCTTGGGATTTTTTTCCCTTTAAGCATGGCCGTGACAATGTCATACACCGCTGTGTCAAGAGTGCGGCAGTCGTTGTCAAGTTCTTCCCGGAAAAACACCGGCTCACTTTCAGGAGGCGTCTCGTCCTCCCGATATTTGTAATTCTGTACCACATCCTCTATCTTTGCAACGTTGACAGGCATTGGTAAATCTCGATGAACGAACGCCGCCGCTCTGTCCTCGACTCTTTGAGCAGGAGCACTTGCTGGACATGACACGTGATATGGCTGAAATATTCAAGTTCTTTGCTGATATGCATTGTGAATGATTCAGTGGATTAGTTTAGCAAAACTTAAAAAACTGCTGTTTATTTCGAATATGTTTTGATAAGGTAATGAACTAGTTTTCAAACATTCAAAATGGAACAAATAATCATGACTCATCACATAAAAACTGCAAAGCGCAATTTACCGCCGATATAGACACTGGTATTAACTTCTCTGATGAATATTACAATTATAAAGTAAGCAATTTGGTACACTTTGGATACGTAGACAATTTCCCATTAGCAAAGTTGTATGCATTCGTTTCCCTAAATATTGGTAAGCTAGAATTACTGTTAACTGCATTGAAACATAGGGCGGTGGGTGTTTAAACCCGAGAACGGTCATTTTTTTTCTTTCTTTTTGCCTTTTAACATTATTTATGTATCTCACGTATCCTTTTTTGAAATGAAAATGTGTTTGATTTTAATTATATAAATGATATGGGTGTTTATTGGCTAAACAATGCTTAATCTTAAAACAAATATATAGAACCTGGTATTTTCAACGTCTAATAAAATCAGAACTGCACGGTGAAAATGCTTGATTGTTTACATAATCAACCAATATACTTTGGAAAGAAATTAAGGACAATTTGAAAACAACCCCTCATTTTGGTAATTTTTTGGGATCTATTATGATTAGGCTCTCTATAGGAAAATGGTCAAACACGTGTTAAAATGGGTGGGGAAGGTAACATTTTTCATAAATTTTGAGTAGAAATATTTATTTTGCTTGTGTCAGTTGCTGGCTAAATGTTTCTCAACAATAATTAATGGGAAACATTTTTTATAAGGAAGATATTGTAAATTATTTAAAAGATCCTCATTTCTGAAAAAAACGTCCCTTCTTACATCCAATCTAACGTTCAGAAAAGTGGCCATAACTCGTTTATCGTACGATAAAGTTTGTTTACATTTTTCATTCAGGTGTCCTTTAAGGCATATATCTGATCTATGTAGTCAATCTTTCAATTCCTTACAGTTCCTTATAGAGGCAACACATATCGGTACAAAATGTGAGGAGCATGCGTACTTAAATCTTGCTAAAACAGGAAAGTGAAAGTTTAAGTAAGTGAAATAGTTACATTAGTGCGACATGAAACACTGGCTCCCCTGTCCATCATCATCATTGCAACGGGTTCAGGTGCAGGTTGAAAGTCTTCTACTGCACCTGTGTCCTCTGCCTGCATGCCAACACACACGCCATTTTCAGGATCACAAACCATATCCTCACTATTACCACAGTTATTAGCGCAACTCGGCCTTTCTGCATAGCCATACCAATTTTTTGTCCAGAAGTTTTCAATACCTAATTTATTCAACATAAATTCCATCCCGTCCATTTTTTCATTAGGCATATGATCTTCTGGCGTTGGTCTTATGTCATCGGAGTCATCAAACACGGGATAGTCAGTACCTGGGTCGATAAACTCGCATGCAGAGGAATTCTGACGCTTTCGAAATTCCTCCCAAATTAAATCAATGAATGCATGGTGCATATAGAAGATTGGATCTGAAGCTGATAAACGACCGGTCATTGTTCCACCAACCCATCGATGCACTCCGTTATGAATACCCTCCAACTTTTTGAACATATCCTGTAATCGAGAAGTTTGTTAACAAGCCTAGAATAATCAACGTAAATATCTTAGGTTAAAGATGTAAAAATCTTATAGATAGCTACGACATAGGGATATCATAACAAACAGTAATACATTGTATAATCCACCTGATTATATTTTTAAGATGACAGGAGTTAACTTTTAAATGAAACAATGTTAGGTTTAAGATAACAAAGAACCTCATTTTAAAAACATTATGTTATGATATTAGCAATTAATATAAATTTGTCGTTTTAAATGTTTTTCTCATAAAAAGAAATGAAGTTGAATTTGTATATTCTTTCTTTTTTTAAGAAACAATGAACTATTGCGTGAGTTTACAAACTTTTTCATCAAAGACCTCCATTATAGTAAGATACACGTACCAATTATATTTAGAGTAATTAAAGGTACTCCACTGAGTTTTTTTGATATGATGGGACTGAAAGTATTTTTTTTCAGATAAATGTACCATTTGATGTAGGTTTAGACCACTTACCTTTGTGCAAAATTTCATATTATTCGCGCACTTCGTTTTTTCCAGAAAAACTATTGAAATTGTAAAAAATGGCCCAAAATGAAAAGCGTTTAAACACTTTTCACTTAAATCGGATTAAGAAAAGCATAAAAATACGATTTTCAATTTATTTCAAAGTATATTTCTTAACTATCTTTGCATATATTTCTGTTTAATGTGCCCCAGCTCATTTATGTAAGAAATTCAAATGTTATGTTTTTAGACTTTTAAACCTCAGTGGAGTCCCTATAACCTTTATGTTTTTAAAATTATAGAAAAAAAAGAATATTTACACCCATTTTACAGTTCTGTAGTATTTCATCTATTTTCTCTTGCTTGATAAGTTTACCCTTTCCGTTAGCAATTTCTCTTATTAATGGATTTGTGTCTGTGTCAAAAGCTGCAAAACTGTTATTAACCTTCCCACGTCCAGTACCTAGAAATATATGCTACATGACTTGCTTTTTTGTTCCGATGATGTATACCAACAAGAAAGATATGCTAATGTTCGGATTCAATGTTCGAAACTTTTTCCCAGTATTTCATTTTATATTCCGAGCTAGAAATGAAATAATTTTCAACACAAACACGTTACTTTAATCTAAACAATTAGCTTACTTGGAAATGGAATAGTAGTAAAAGAGTTATTTATACTAGTATTGAAAACGTTTCCGTTTAACCAGCATCGTGCTGAATAAGTGTAATGGATTTACCCAATTAATTTTATTTGAAACTGTTCATACCAAGTTTAATCATTTCAATATCAAAATACAAAAAAATAATAATAAATAAAAATAAATAAAATGAGCTAACAGCGGTAAAGCGCCTGAACGATAGAACGAAAGCGAGGTTGGCCTGGCCCTTTTCTTGTGAAAAAGGCAACGCACTTTTAACACAGATAATAAATTAACTTTCAATCTGCCTTGAGTATCCGTCTTGTAAATAAATATTTTGAATTTGAAACTATTAGCTTTAGGTGCTTTAGAATTAAGCATTAAATAGTATGCAGTAAGGCCAGACCGCTAATAGATACTTATTTTGGTATACGATACAACATAGGAAGTGTTTGATATGGAATTATTTAATTACCCATGTGCTCTGCGTCCCACATGACAGAGAGTGACGGTGCTACCATGTTGTCGTCTATGGTACTGTCCCAGTAGGGTAATGATACATCGGGGTCAATTTGTCGTAGGGCTTCCTCATATCTTTATAAAATATAGATTAATTTACATCTCATACATTAACATACATTTCACACACGTAAACACAATAATATAATGAATGTACATATGCAAATAGCCTCGTGTGTTATTGATGCAATGAGCTTATACAAAAACAATATGCATACACATTATCATATAATAACATTAAGCAATATGACAAATCCATGGAATCACATACGGCTTTCAATGAAATGAAATGTCTCCAATGAAATGAATTTGACAAGAACATAACACTTAATAATTAGATAAAGCGACGCTAAAAGTGTTTAGCACTATTTATCAAAATGTTTTTGTATTCAGATAATAACTTTCTTGTGAAAAACATCAGAATTGTGAAAATTTATTTCTGACAAAGCATTTTCCTTTTCTGACTTTTTATCAATTAGAAGAAAAAATATTGCACAAGTCATTTGAGTATAGCTTCCTTAATACCCTTGTTTAAACGTTTGTCTCACACAGCGCACAGGTTTTGTTATATGAATAAAATGAAGGTATGTAACGACATAGTGATGACAAATAAAAAGCCCCTTGAAAAAAGAACCCGTCGACTCGTCAGTGAATGGACGATTTTGTGAAAAAAAAACAAAAAACAAAAAAAAAAAAAACAATTAAATGTTATTCTCACTCCCTATGATTCTACTTTAAACATTTACATTTTAGCTGACTTTAAATCAAGAAATTAAAAAATGATAGGGCGTTTATAAAAATATCATTCTCCTTTTTTGCAAAATGTTAATTATTTTCTAATAGGGAAGTAACAATATTATAACAAGAATATTATAACAAGAATGACAAGGACTTATTATTTTATGCAGGTCATAATGATTCGCGTTGGTCATTTTTCGGTAATTATAAATATAGATATTTTGACCAATGAGTTAGAAAAGAAATCTGGGGGACATAATAGATTTATACGGATCACTTCAGATTGTTCAAAGAACTATGCGTGGACATATCGATGTAAGAAAAAGAAAAGTACGACTCATTTTAGCATTTTCCTTCGACCCACGAATGCTTAGTAGTCAGTTAGATATTAAACTTACAGCGCGAGGAATGCTCGATGCCATGGTAAAAATGCCTCCCCTCTGTGAACTCCTTTAAGTTCGATACCTTTTCTATGTACCCGTGCAAAGCAACTAAAGGTTTCATCCTGTAACAAAAATATAGAATTATATATAATGTTGAATCTTTATAATAAAATCCTACGAAACGCATTAACAGAAATTGGAAAACTATTTCAGGTGCCATACCGTGATTTATATAAGGCACAAACGGGAACCTCGACGGTCCGTAAGCTAGCTGGATATGTTCCTCACAATCAAAATATAGATTTCAAAAATCCTAGCAATAAGAGTGTAAAGAAACCAAGTTGAGCAATTATAATAATTCTAATAAAATTATATAAGACTTTTTGCCATACTTCATACAGTTCTCTGACGGCATCGTGATATTTTTTCCTTTCGCTTAAAGTCAGTGTCCGGTATTCCTTCCGTATTCGATATCCTGTGTTAGGTTTGGTTATATCTGAAGGTGCAATGCGTTTAATCTTTCTGGTACTCCTTCTACTTCTTTGTTCTTCATTGTCCTCGTTTCTTTTAATTTTTAAACTGGTTCCAAACAATCTTTGTTCGGCAAGGTCATCTTGAGTAGTGTTGAGGTGAGATACTCTCCACAACCCAACACGGAGACACCATACTTTAGCATTAAGTTCTGAGCAGTGACCACGCAACCAGTCCACACAAGGACCGAATCCGTCTGTGACATCCACTCGTATTGTCTGACTTGCATTGTCTGATCTTGATATATCCACTGAAACAAGGTAATTATATAACATGATAAGACATAAAATGGACTCCAGACCATATGATGCTATAGATGGTTTCAACCGTCCCAAAATAATCTCTAAACATAAACTGTAATAGACTCGCATGTATTTAGATTATTAAAAGGCAAAACATATACACTTATGATGGTTTTATTAATCAAACACACAATTTCACAAATCTATTGAAGCTTGACTTTTATTGAGAAATTGACCTGCCTAAACTTGACATTCACTCATAAATGACCTACGCATTTAATGTAAACTTTTAGAATTGTGCTTGATTTTTGGTACAACTTGCTATAACTTTGTTATTTATGATCTAATTGTCTTAAAAGTTGGACATAACAATATTTATGATGAAACCGTCAAGACAATCAAACTGGCATTGACCCTGATTGATAGACAACTTTGACCGTGATCGTCAAATTATTCAATTATAATATATTTTTGCTGTTTTTGTCTTTTACAATGCATTTAATGTCATGGTGACAGCAACATTTTAGGAAACATCTTTGAAAAGATTAAACAGAACTTGACCATGAATCTGAAAAGACCTTGAACTTGAAGGTCAAATTACTATAATTTCACAATCGTTCTATTTTATTGGTTATAACTAGTAATTTATAAATGGATGGTCTGCATACTTGTACACAACAACCCTAAGGACATGACCTTCAAGATAGTTTGTAAAACTTGACCTTTATTAGATCTTAATATTCAGTGTCAAATTATCAAATACCTAGAACTACGCATAGATTCTTGCTCAAGAAATCAACCTATCGCCCCTGACAGGGTTTGAACCCACGCGGACAGCGATCCTTAGATTAATGGTCAAAAGCGATAACCACTTGACCATACCAACTCAATAACCTTATTAACGAGACCTTCTGACTTTAAAACTTATCTATATTTAATGTAAAATATATTTACCTTCCGATTTCCCTTGACGCTCAATCACCTTGCACGCTTTTGTTAATTCGTTTGATAGAAATGTTAATTTAGAATTACACGTCTTTGTTTGGGTTACCAAATTCACTAACTGTAATATAAAGCTGCATCTTAGAACATTGTTCAAATCTTGAAACGTAAGTTATTTCTAAGTCCTGTAATTATTATTGCGTAAATAGAGTCGAATAACGTTTACGGCTTATCATAGTTTTGATCTCAAATTGTTTTATGTTATCCTCTTTTATCACAGTTTGTCACCACATCTTAAGAACCCGAAGGCACTCGTATTTATGAAAAGCTAAAGCATTTAATATACATTGTATATGTTTGTCTTAGCTATATGATCGTCAATTAATGTGTAGTTGCTTTTACTTATTTCATATAAATACAATACACACAACACGGTTGACAATAACCCTGGCATAGAGATACACTCTATACACGTTTTGTTTAAACTTACATTATCATTTACCCTTAGGAATCTATCACCACATAAAGCAAGCCTAGAACTAAACACATGTTTGCATTGAACGTATAAGTTTTGTTTAAACGCATCTGTAATTATAGAATCTTGATTGTGGAACAATTCATTACAGTTTTACTATTCAATTTCAAGTTCGCCTCTAGAAAATATTCAGTACTGGTGTTATATGAGGAAACAGGGCTCGGACCCACCCCAGATTCCTGACTGGAGAGACGTCGGTTTTATCCAATTTGCCACAGCTCTCCTCTGCATTAGCTGTAACAATCTGCAAGTTTTTGAAAACACGGAATTCTACAATAAGAGTATACACGATTTTTGCAATTGCGGAGGAAGAGATCAAAAACAAAAATAAATATGCTACTTACCTCACCGAGAATCTCTACAGTTGTAAGCATGGAACAATTTATTTGGGCTTCAAGTTTCTCCGCTTTATTTGCTGGCAAACTTCCACATTGAGCACGAACATTAGAAACCAATAATGAGAAAATTACAAAAGCTGACAAAGTATGCATCATCCCTGGTTAGCTATAATCTTACTTCAAAAGAACTGATTAAAAACATGGATCATATGACCATTGAATGTCAATAACAATAGTTCATTTGTTTTAAAGCATTAGTTAACAATACGAGGTAACGAGTAACGTGCTCTGTATGATATTTGTTTCCAACTTGAGCAGAAAATATAACTCGAGTGTTTTTATAAATATTCATAGATCTCAGATGGTCAAACATAAGAGTTTGTTTATCCGAAAATCGGATTAGGAGCCAGATGTTTTTATTTTGTGTAAACGACAAAACATGACCTATACGACATTAATTTATCATCAGTACATATTTCTTTTGCAAATTATAGCGATCTTGGTCTTAATCCTTCTGCCTTGACCTTTATCAAAATAATGTTTAAAAAGTCCGCGCTATAATGAACTAAAACGTATAATTCAATTATTGTTTATCTCGGGGATGCTAAAAGTCCTAAACTAAGAATTTTGTAAATAGATGTTGTCCGGAACTCGGCAAATATGGGTTTTTTTCAGCTAATCCGTAGGTACAAATAAACATTTACCGTTATAGCTTCACGGTGCACTACTGGTCACAATAGCTTAGTCAACCTGTTGCGCTTATTTCCGAAGCTGTAACTGTTAAAGTTTGGTTGTACTTACGAATGAGCTGGGAAAAAAAGCCAAATATTAGTAATTCCGGAGTTAGACTATTAAATTAAGAAATTGCGAGCGTGTGTAATTGTTGCATATCATTGCATAACTGATGTTTGGAATTAATTTGCCAATACTTGATGAATCAAATAATGCAGCGAGGAGAATACCAAACACATTGTTCAAGCATGTCGGTCGGTGTGCAAATATACTTATATATCATTAAAAAAATCTGTTCAGGCTAGTTTATTGAAAATTATTTCCAGTTAAGCAAAGATAAAGATACTTTAAGGTACCGGTATAAAAATATTGGCAACACGACCGAGTTATTTCTTTCATTAAAATTTGTTTCTTATATTAGGTTTTATGTCGTATAAGCCGGGCATTGATCAGCAATTTCATTTCTTATTTCCTGCAGGATATGGAACCAACATCGTGTGCTATTTTTAGGTGTTCAAGTCAAAGTTATGTCACTCAACATCAACCAGTACAAATACTTAATCCAGTATCTCTTGCAAAACGGATACAATTACTTAATGCAAGGCAAGTCAATGCTTGCATTAAAGGTCTTGCATCTAAAGCTATTCGTTCTGTACAGCATAATCATGAAATGAAGATGGCCTTTGCGCTTAGATACCTTAAATTCTAGAAGTTCATTATGATATGATTATGAGGCACATCATATTTTGTTATGTAGTGCAAGATTCTTCAAACAAAAGTAGTTCATTACATTGCCATGGCAAAACTTGAAAAGAGACAAATTCCCTGCTTTCTGACACAATTCTGATAAATACAATAACGTTTAAATTATACGCTCACTAGGCTGAACGTATGTTTACAAAACCCTAGCAATTTCCTCTAAAGGTTTGTGGATATCAATGAAAGATGAACATATATTTTTTAACCGTTAATTCCGTCAAATTACCTTTGATTAATTATACCTGTTTCTACATGTGTTTTGTGAATGTAAATTATCGAAATAAGGGACATACAATTAATTTGAAATGATTTATGTCGCTATCGATGCATACAATTTAAAAGTAATAAATATCAAGAAAGGCGAAAATCTACATACAAGGTATATTGTTTCACCTATCCGTTGTATGTTATAAACGTTTAAATTATCTGTACCTAATTATTATGATATCGCTACACCAGTCTTCCGTTTCAAGAAGAAAAACATTCTATACCCACCTACAAACTTGGTTAATGAAAGCAGGAAACTTTCTAGACAGGAAAACGACTTTTAAGTAGCACTTAGGCATTCAGCATCGCTAAAAAAATTGGAAAATTTGGAAAACAATGTCTCCCAAAATTGAAATCAAAACGTAAGTGACAAACAACTTTTCAAACAGCCCTCATTAAAGATTTGAATGACAGGAATTTGGATCAAGTAGTGTCTGAAGGGTCTACAAACCGTTATTTTATTTCAGCAATACGTCTGATACGGAAAAATTATGTGTTCGATAAATGCTACTGCTATCTTCACTATAGGCCGACGCATCATTGCAGCTAACGTATAATAATCAAGTGTTCGGGTAGGCAGCTGGCTCCGCTCGTTTCCACCTATCGCCGGAAGTGTCTATATATACCGCTGGGTCCACACTCATCACTCCCACACACACGCCATCCTGACAAATCCGGAATCTTTTGGCAGTTAATAACTACAAACCGGACTTCTAGCGTACCCGTACCAGTTTTGTGTCCAGTACTTCTTAATACAGTCCTTAGTCTTCAAAAGGTCCATCCCGTCCATATCTTCATCCGTCGCGTGCTCTGGTTTTGTTGGTCTGGGACTATTTTCATTAAACAATGGGTAATCGGTTCCGGGACCTGTGAAATTACCGCCTGAAGAGTTTATTCTCTTCCGGAAGTCTTCCCAAATCTTGTCTTTATATCCATGATGCAAGTAAAAGATAGAATCGCTTGCAGACCAACCTCTTGCCATTGTAGATCCAACCCATCTATGGACAGAATTATGTGAACTTATAGTTTTCATTTATATCAACCTGATTTCAGACAGTCCAATATAGCTGTGTACTCTTTAGTCATGCTTGAATAGGTTTACATATCCCCTTATGTAAACAAAACGAATCTTTGGTAAAAGACAATAATCCGTCAGCAACCAAACCAAATCCGGTACCTGGAAACACACATGCGGTGGTACAAACCTTCACTAACTTTGCAAATGATGTGAATTAATCGTAACCATCTTTTACTGTATACAAATTGTTTACAGATATTCTCTTATAAGAATATTCGTCCTTTTGCATACATGAATTTCTCGGACATGTAATAGGTGCTTAATTTCAGTTGGACATATCAATAAGATAAATAAAATACAATCAAGGCCCGTGTGACGAAATTGATAATATAACCTAAATAAGCAAAAGATATCTGAATCACATGCAATTATGTCTATTCATTATAGACCAAGGTGGTCTACAGGAAATACATATAGGATCGTTTGTAAATTTCTTGATACTAGATAACACAAACCTTAGTGTAAGACGACGTCCCACATTACAGACAAAGTTGTTGAAACCAGGTTGTTATCCATTATGCTGTCCCAGTAAGGTAACGACACGTCGGGGTCTATCCGTCGCAGTTCCTCCTCGTATCTTAAAAATAGATCAAAGCTTACAAGATAATGCTGCATCTTTTAGAGGTACAGACCTGCCAGGTTTGGGAAGCATAAAGTGAACTAAATTTGGTTTTGTAAGTCATAATCCAGAGCCAAGAGGAATACATCAAAGGCTAGGACGAGTTTCTTGAAGACAGTACGTCCGATGAAATTCGTTTGAAAAAATATAGAAAAATAATCAGTATATATAAGTATCTGATTTATCTCACAATTAAAGGAGATTGATCTTCATCACTAACATTATCATTCTGCTGTCTCATTAGAATGAAAAATCTATATTTCTTTACACCGAGACATGATGATATTTAACTTCATCTGGAAGTCAGGGACACAGATATATTGATATTATGATGTTTTACTTTGTGTTGAGAGGTTAGTTAAGTAACTTGTAACGATAGAAAAAAAAACAGGTTTTTATGTGATTATTGAACAATTACAAAAATGCTATTTTTATCAAACATTTTATCTCAGCTATATTAATAAGTCTTATTGGTTTTAATAAATGTTTGTTTTCTGTAATAAAATAGTGTTCCTCTGTCCAATCGGACGAATGCATATGTTTTATTGCATCATAAAAAGCATCCTAAAGTCTATTTCAAGATAAAATTGTTTGGTCAGCGTTTCCATGTATTTTGTACCATTAATAGAACAAAAAATCGAGCGCTTGTGAGCGAATATAGATCGTTATTGTTTTGAGTGCAATGTCACACTGAGAGTTACTAGAAATGAATGATGATCCGGCATGAGCACCTTTTATGCCCAAGATTTAGTTTCTTTGAACTTTCTACTAAGCTATTATCAATATTTTTTTAAGATAGACCTGCTTCCCGCTCCTCTTCTCTTATTCCGTTTATATTTTTAATGTAATAGTACCCTAAAAGGTATTTAAGTAGGCTAAACTTGTTAGAAAATTGACATTTTCATCTTTCAAACAGTTTGTGTAATGCATGGATAAACGGCGATCTTTTTCTTCTAGAAATGATAATAGTTGTTTATTGTACGCTACTCTATGATATTGTCCTTTTATTTATCACAAAAAAGTATAAATACATAAAATTGACTTTTGAATAATAAATGTTTGAGTCTTCATTTGATACAACTCGCAAAGTAATTAAACTGATCATTAATGTTTCAAAAGTTAACTATGTCCTCTTATATTTAATAAATTACAAAAGTTTAGCAAACGATGTAATAAAATATTCTCAGTATTAAAATATAGCAATAACATTCAATTCAAATGTGTTTTAGTTACATATATATAAAGTTTCTTTGATAATCCCCAACAATCTGTTAAACAACATAGGAAAGCATTATAGTGTTTAGACAATTTATTAGCCTTCATAGTAACATTTTAGATGGATGAAACTACCACCTGACCTAGAAGATGAAAATAATGGCAGCAAGACATAGATTAACAATATCATATCTATTGCAAGTTTTTATAGCTGTTTTTGCTGGGAATGTTTTTCCCTTTAAGCATGGCTGTGATAATGTCATACACCGCTGTGTCAAGAGTGCGGCAGTCGTTTTTAACATTTTCCCGGAAAAACACCGGTTCACTTTCAGGAGGAGTGACATCCACCCGATGTTTGTAATTCTGTATCACGTCCTCTATCTTTGCAATCAAAGCAGGCATTTCTAACTCTCGATTAACGAACGTCGCCGCTCTGTCCTCGATCGTTCTTGCAGGGTCACTTCTTGGACATGACACGTGATAAGGCTGTAATATCAAAGGTGTTTGCAGCAATACATTTAGACTGTTTCATTAGCTTAGGTTGGCGCAGCTCAATTAACTGATGTATATTGATATATGACTTTTGGGACTAACTACTTATCGAGGGAATTCGCATGGTTCGATTAATGGTTCTAAGTTAATGATTTATTTTCAATATATAAACATTTATATTCTGTACATATACCAATGACTTAGTTCGTGTATCGTAGATTGTACATATAAAACCTATAGTTAAGTATTCACCATACTTAATTTACTTTGTTTTATGAAAAGAAACTTAGCACAATACTTCGATTTCAATGTAAACAATTTACAAAGCGATAAAAATACGGGTTCTGATGTACATAACATTTGTAACGAAAATTAGATACAAATCATAAATGAACTTTGGATTCGAAGATAACCTCCCGTAAGCAAATTTGAATGTATTAAATTTGTTTGCTAAAGCTGTATATGAACAAAGCAAAGAGGTGACACATCTCGATATCAAAAGTGAATTGTTAAAACAGGAAAGTGTAAGTTTTAGTAAGTAATATAGTTACATTAGTACGACATGAAACACTGACTCTCTTGCTCCTCTTCACCATTGCGGCGGGTTCAGGTGCATTTTGTAAATCTTCTACCTTTCCTGCATCCTCTGCCTGCATGCCAACACACACGCTCTTTTCGGTATCACAAATCATATCCCCACTATTGCCGCAGTTATTAGCGCAACTTGGCCTGTTTGCATACCCATACCAATTTTTTGTCCAGAAGTTTTCAATGCCTAATTTATTGAACATAAATTCCATCCCGTCCATTTTTTCATTAGGCATATGACCTTCTGGCGTTGGTCTTATGCCATCTGAGTCATCAAACATGGGATAGTCAGTACCTGGGTCGATAAACTCGCATGCAGAGGAATTCTGACGCTTTCGAAATTCCTCCCAAATTAAATCAATGAATGCATGGTGCATATAGAAGATAGGATCTGAAGCTGATAAACGACCGGTCATTGTTCCACCAACCCATTGGTGCACTCCGTTATGAATACCCTCCAACTTCTTGAACATATCCTGTAATCGAGCAGTTTCTCATTAAAGCTTGATAACAAGTCCAGGAATAATCAATGTAAATATCCTAGATTAAACATGTTAAGGTAGAACGCGACACTTTGCGAACTTTCGAGTAGCGTCTTGAAAATTTGCATGCAAAAAGTTGACCATATTTCTGATTAGGTTCCGTTGATTTTATTTCAATAGTTTCAGCCAATTTTTGTACACACGACGTCAAAGTTGACCATCAAAGCCCGTTTTTGAACATGACGTCGTTGCGTATCCTTGGCAACTGTTACGGGTATTACAACGCCATTGGCGGACAAAATATCTTAAATCCTACAGCATTCGCCGGAAATTATTTTTCCCTTCAAGCAGATATAAAATTTATTGTTTTACGCCGAAACTTGTTTGAGTAATGGAAAGAAAATTGTCAATTTTGTGTAAAATTTGACGTTCAGTTTTGCCGCATTTTTAGGCTTAAAATCGGCTTATTAAAAAATTCCTGAAATAAATTTTTGATTTTTTTCTTTAAACGTCCTTTAAAATGTATACTTAGTCAAAATAACTAAAAAAATTAGGGGGTCACCGACTCAATTTTTTCGGTACACGTGATTTTATTTCCCCCACCCCTTTGGATAAAAGTCACGCTATCACGGGGCGTTCGGTTTTTTTGATGTTATTAAACGATCGCTTTGTGTCAAAATCCCTTTTTTACGGCATTTTAAGCTGTTATTACCACTGCGGAAAATATATGGATACAATAAAGGGTATGGAATTCCGTATAGTATAGATAGACAGGTAAAAATAAGTGAAATTTGATGTACGGGACCGTATATCATGCAATACGTATATGACTAATATACCGTGATCCGTACACTCGTAATATGATTTTTTTTATTCTAGTAAATACAGATTTTGTATATAAAACAAAGAATAAAAATGTACTTCAGTATTACGCACTTTCTACAAGAGGAAAGAAATAATAGTATGATCTGACATGTGTCATAATAACATTAAATAGTAAAACTTTGAGTAAAATGTTATATTTCTCGGTTTTATTAACATGTCAGTATAGTTAGTGAAACATCGGCAGATCCTCTAGCAAAAACGCAACACTCCTTTGTGCAGTATATAGCTCAAGGCCACCGGTTCGCTTAAATCCGCAGACGTGTATTTACAGCGTTTCATTATATTTCATGTTTAAAGTACTGTTTCCTGTTCAATATAAATTCTACCATAAATTTGGCTATACAGTGAATAATGAATATTTGCAAAGGCCGATTTGATAGTTATGTGTTTAATACAGCGTTTATGGTGAATCCTCAATTAAAATCATAAGCAAAACGAGAGAATATGTATTACAGATGTTTATTACTTGTAGAATCGGACGTGCTACATCTGGCTGTAAAATACAGAAAAACAGAATCCCTAAAGAAATTCCAACACAACATAATTGAAAATGTTGCAGGCTCGGTTTGATTGAGCCTGTTCATGGACGGTACTGGAAAGTGCAAGTTACCGTCCACGCCCCCTAGCACCAACACCCGCTGAGCCAACGTTTCAAGCATGACTGTTTGCTTCACGCTAATATAATTGACTAAGTTTCATTTATGAACCGTATATTTTAATTTGTCAATATTTCGCCAGTTCTGTCAAATTGTTGCAATAGTTTTTGATTACAAGTGAAATTCAAATTTTGGTTTTTAATAGGTGAAATAAAATACATATCACTCACAGTTTATCACTCATAGTGTGGGCAATGCAAAATGTATATATTTGCAGAATTTCTTGTAGACTACGTATTAATTTATGATTGAATTTCCATAAATTTCTAAATTTCTAAACATAAAAATGTATACATGCAGTTGCTTTTTGTTCCATGTGGCAAATTTTCTCGATTCAAGTTTATTAATCTTATTGTATTAGAATATCAAAAAGGAACACCGCAAATGATTACTCTCAGCTGTATTTATTTTTGTTTGCGCAGCGTAAGCGTTACCGTTGAACGCCTAACGTCATTTTCTTTACATGCGTCTGATTACAAATCTTTATGAAGTTATTAATAATGCTTAAAAACAAGAAAAAAATCGTTTGTTTTTCGTAGAATTTTAGGAAATTTGCAATGGAACATTGTTGATGTCGTTTTATATGTATTAGTGAAACTCTAAAACAATTCTCCTGATAAGCTGAACATTATTGCCGCACTTTGAAGTCTCAAACGTATCTGCATACGTCGAATTTTGTTACAAAATTACTCACGGGGTGGGGGAAATAAAATCACGTGTACCGAAAAATTTGAGTCGGTGACCCCCTAATTTTTTTAGTTATTTTGACTAAGTATACATTTTAAAGGACGTTTAAAGAAAAAAATCAAAAATTTATTTCAGGAATTTTTTAATAAGCCGATTTTAAGCCTAAAAATGCGGCTAAACTGAACGTCAAAATTTACACAAAATTTACAATTTTCTTTCCATTACTCAAACAATTTTCGGCGTAAAACAATTAATTTTATATCTGCTTAAAGGAAAAAATAATTTCCGTCGAATGCTGTAAAATTTAAGATATTTTATCCGCCAATGACGTTAAAATACCCGTAACAGTTTCCAAGGATACGCAACGACGTCATGATTCTGAAAAAAAAGCGACTGAGCATATGAACTTAAGTTTTTCACACAGGTCCAGACAAACTTCAAAATTTCACCATTTTAGTGTTAAAATGTTGAATTCGGCTTAAGCCGGTGCTAGGGGGCGTGAACGGTAACTTGCTATTTCTATTATCGTCCATGAACAAGCTCAATCAAACCGAGCCTGCAACATTTTACAATTTTGCTGTGTTGGGAAATTCTTTAGGGGCTCTGTTTTTCACTATTTAATTGTCACATCCGTGTTATTTGTGCCGTGTGGCGGCTGTAAAAAGTCTCCCCATACATTTAATCAATGATTCTATATTTTCGATCTTGAAGATCGTTCAGCACGACATTATTGTTGTGTATACATTTTACATGGTATTTATAGTGTCTTGTATTTGGCCTTTTTCAATTTGGATGGTTCCAGTATCCCTACTTGAATACTGTATAATCACCCTTAGGATATATTGCCTGCTTTTTAAATAGGTCTTTTGACGTCTTATCTGTGATCTGCAGGCTTCATAACCTCAGATCCCCTTTCAAAATTCCATTTTATTTAGTTCGCCCATTGTTTTCTCGTTTAGGGCACACGCATCCTTTTACTTGGGGACCATACGCCGCTTTTCATGGAATGACACTACTGTGTCACATTGAAGGTTCAATGGTAACCGCCGTATGAACACATCTGTGGATGTTTCTAAATTCAAAAATTTCACCATTTCAGTGTTTAAATGTTGAATTCTGCTTAAGCCGGTGCTAGGGTGTAGGGGGCGTGGACGGTAACTTGCAATTTCCTTTACCGTCCATGAACAGGCTCAATCAAACCGAGCCTGCAGCATTTTACAATTTTTCCGTGTTGGGCTTTCTTTAGGGATTTTGTTTTTTCACTATTTCAAATGATACATGATTTTGAAAAAATATTTTCAGTACCATCATGTCAGAAACAACATAAGTTGAGTGAAATTTCCATAATTCCATATGAAATCCATTGTAAAGTAAAACTTGTACATTGAGTTAGTGAAACAAATGAAGTATGGACGTATGCATCAACTTCCATACACCTGGGCAATATTTAGTTTTCAAAATAGATGTATTTGATATTCACAAAATGTGACACATTTTGAATGTATGAACACTGAAATAAAGAACGGGACAACTTATAAAGCCGATACAGAGTAACGGACACTTGCAACGGAGGTCTCCCGACAGCAATTGAATTACAAAGAGCCATTGCCGAGCGGAATCAAGCTCGTCTTTTTCTTATTAATCGGAGGAAGGACACTGTACTATATTAAGGGCTTACAAAAGGAAAAACTTGATCATGATAGTCAAAGTCACGTTAAGGTCAAACGTGAATCATTGAACATGTTTGTGTGGCAATCAATTTTGTTTTGTGTGAATCAGATACTTAAAAAAACAAAGTTAACACAACTAAAAAAACTTTTAAAAAATATTAATGGTCAAGGTCTTCATAAGGTCAAGATCAAACTTGAGCAATTCAATATTTCAGTTTTGACATAAGTATTGTTTTGTACATTGGCAAGTATAATTTAAAATAGATAATTAGAAATAGATAAGACAGTTATTACACGTTAGGTTTATTAGAAAAAAAGACCTTAACGATGTCGTCTTGAGGCTAAGGTCATCAAAATTATTCAACAAGTCAATGGTGTCGTGAGTGTCCTTTTTATCGAAAAATAAAATATTCTGTAAAACAATGAAACGGTCAATTTTCACTTGTTTGTCCTTGATAGCCATGGTCATTTAAAGGTCAAGGTCATATAAGAGTTATTTTTTCTTACGATGGTCTAGTCAAAAGTGTTGATTTGTTTAAGCTTTAATGAAATCCGCAAGTAGATAAAAAAGTAACAACCAATTTGAGCGAATTTCAATTATTTGAAATTGAATGTCAAGGTTAATTAATGGCTAATTGATGGTCAAGGTAAAGTTTTATTAAACCATAATAAGGTAGAACGCGACACTTTGCGAACTTTCGAGTAGCATCTTGTAAATTGGCATGCAGAAGGTTAACTATATTTTTGATTTGATTCCGTTAATTTTATTCCAATAGTTTCAGCCAATTTGTGTACACATGACGTCAAAGTTGACCATCAAAGCCCGTTTTTTTAACATGACGTTGTTGCGTATCTTTGGCAACTGTTACGGGTATTACAACGCCATTGGCGGACAAAATACCTTAAATCCTACAGCATCCAACGGAAATTATTTTTTCCTTTAAGTTGATATAAAATGTTCGTTTTATTCCGAAAAATATTTGAAAAATGAAAAGAAAACTGTCAACTTTGTGTAAAATTTGACGTTCGGTTTACCCGCAATATTCGGCTTTAAAGTGGCTTATTTAAAAATTCCTGAAATAAATTTTTGATTTTT